GGATGGTTTAGTCTGCAGAAGAGAAGAATGAGGGGGGATTTGATAGCTGCTTTCAACTACCTGAAGGGGGGGGAGGGGGTTCCAAAGAGGATGGATCTAGACTGTTCTCAGTGGTAGCAGATGATAGAACAAGGAGTAATGGTCTCAAGTTGCAGTGGGAGAGGTTTAGGTTGGATATTAGGAAAAACTTTTTCACTAGGAGGGTGGTGAAGCACTGGAATGGTTTACCTAGGGAGGTGGTGGAATCTCCTTCCTTAGAGGTTTTTAAGGTCAGGCTTGACAAAGCCCTGGCTGGGATGATTTAGTTGGGGATTGGTCCTGCTTTGAGCAAGGGGTTGGACTAGATGACCTCCTGAGGTTCCTTCCAACCCTGATATTCTGTACCAGTTAACTGTGTTTTACCCTTGCTAGCAGACAAGGATGACATTTCTTCCTTTAGCCAGTTTGGCAGGTTGTTTTTTTGCAGCGTAAGCAGCCTCCCCACCATACCCCACTAACAATGACTGTTATCAGTTTGTTCCATTGGGCCACGTCACAGATCTGTGAGTGGAGTGCATCACTTTACATGCTGCTGCTGTACCTCTGTTCATACCCTGGCAAGCACTCTATATTCACTGCTGTTACACTTGTTTTATAAGTAGGATTGAGAGGAAAAAAATCCTCCCACAACAGATTTTCAATCACTTACATTGGCGGGAGCAAGGCTGTAGTGTGTACACTGACATAATTATGTCAACGTAAACTGCCTTACGTTGACTTAACTCTGTAGTGTAGACCAAGCCTTAGTTGCAAAGACTCTGCACTGTTTATTGGCCTTATATTTTGTTGCCATTTTTGCTAGCAAATCCCCTGCAGAAGAGGAGGATTCTAGTGGAGCTTTCTAAATACATAAATGATCATGATGAAATGAAGTAGCGGTTCAGTGAAAAAAGCACATAAAATACTATACCCTGTATTTTGTATGTCTCTACTCATTTTAGACTGGGCACCACACATTATGCCAAGCAGCAAGCATAAATAGCAGGGTCAAAAAAGTAAACAACAATGATTAGAGTGCACAGAACTCACCTGCTTTATTATCTGGCAGTTTGACGGGATCCAATGATAACTGAAGTAGTTACATGCTTTTTGACAGTGAATTCTTATCCATTGATCTATTGACCAGTCTCTTCCGTCAGCAAACAGAACTAAACCTACGTCTATTTCTAATGCTCATTACTAGAAGAAACATACACCAGTCTAATCTTGCTTAATACTGTATGTCGAAGTAAAGAAATTTGTAGAGGGCTTTGCAGAATGTTGCTGCTTATTTTTTGTCTTAGTGCATCCATGATTTTTTATCTAAGATTGAATGTTAAAAATTATATACAAATAAATTGCTGTTCATTGCCAGTCATCCATTCCTTCTTCTCTCCTTTTCTCAGTTCTCCCATGTGGTCTAATTTCTTCAAGGATCTCTGCCTTCTCTCCCATTTCCTTTTGCACTGGGTCTGTGCTGCTTGATTCTTGATGCTGTGATCACAGTTTCAACACCAGGGCCATTGCTCAACTTCCTCCAAACTGTTGTTTCTACTGTATCTGTGCCTTAAGAGTGATGCTCTCTGTTGATCTGCTCAAGGGCTTCAGGCACATCAGGGAGCTGTGTCTCCCTACTTTATGTTGTATCTTTTCAGTCTTCCCCCAGATTTCAGAACTGGAATACTGCTTGTTTTTGATTCAGCCACAAGACCAATTGCTCTCAGCCTTACCACTTCAGATTGTGATTTTGTCAGAACTCAAACTAAACAAGGTAGTTTGATCAGAACCAGGATGTGCGATCTCTAGGGTACTGCTGTTTAGAGCACAATGGGGTCTTTTTGCACATGGTAAAGAACAGGACTGAGAGTCAGAAGACCTAGGTTCTCTTCCTGTCTCTGTCACAGACTTCGGGCAACTCACTTAGGCTTTTTGGCACTCAAGTTTCCTCATCTACAATATGAGGAAAAGTAAAACTCATGTACCTCAGGATAGAAGTAGTGTGAAATTTAATTCATTAATATTTGTAAAGTGTTTTGGAGATCCTCAGGTGGAAAGCACTTGACAAATACAAGTGCATCATTTAGTAAGTGACACTCTTACCTGAGTCATTACTGAACCAATACTTTCGCATAGTGTTTTCTAGATGGGACTAGCAAATGAGCATTGAAGTGACTCCATCTGTTATTTGTCCATCAGTTTGTCTAGTACCTGAAGAGTGTTGAATTTAAGGGGCTTTTATGATCTGAATGCATTTAGCAAGCAATGCTAAAAAGACATTTAAAACGCATAGTATCACCCTACAAAATGATTAATAATTTCTAGATTTTTAGCTTTACCTGCAATTATTTTGCTTTCTGTGTTCAGTAAAATCTAAGACATTATGTACTAGAAAATGCAACATGTAGCAAGTATTCATCCATGTAGATTAGGTGACAGTTAGAAACAGCCATAATAAAGCGACCTCAATTTACAGATGAAATTTCCTCTTTTTATTGGGAGTGAGATTAAAACAATCTATTTCCAAAGGATTTACTTGTTTCTCTCATTAATTATGCCTGTGCTTTGCCAGTCAAGATCTACAATAAAGCTGTGTGCTTCTTTAAAATGTTGATAACCACCATATTGTGGGCCTAAATCTATCATTACACTTTGTTTCTCCCACGCGTGTGGTCTTTCACATCGCTGTTCTCTCATCACAGACAGTAGTGTGTTTTAACAAGTATGTCAGTAAAACAGGTGTGTGAGATTAGCAGTCTAAGTTTTGAAAAGATCCAATTATTTTTTAAAACAATTTTTCTATTTATTGTTTGTAATACATTTCTGAAACCTTGAGAGCATGAGGAGGTCAAAAAGGGGTGCAGACTTCCCTGGCACCTAGGGGACTTTAGCCAATGCTAGCCATGTGGGATAGTCTGATGTGGCGGGGCATCATGCTGAGAAAGGTGGATCAGCAGTTGACTCTTGGTGCTGTTCCCAACTTTGGTGCTTGAAACACCTGGGAAGGTGGTCCCAACTGCTTTTCCTCATCTCCCTGTGTTGAAGTTGAAACCAAACAGATTTCACTGGCCCATTAGAGCAGAGGCCAACTGCACTGAGATGGTAGGCACTTCTGCAGTATAGGTCAGTACTCCGCATTTGGACCAGGTTCTGGATCACGACGGAGGGTCCTCTTGCTCAAAGCCTGAAGCCAAATTCATGCATTGTTCAGCAGGTGAAAATAGTCAGGTGGCTGTCTGTATCACATCAAGTCTGGCTGAAGAAGGATCAGCAGGTTGGGAATATGCTGGAGATATGGCCTTTCCCAAGGCAGAAAAGATTACTTTGTGTGACCCTCCACATTGCGCCTCAATCTGTCACATGGGCAGAGTTTTAACCCTAAAGATTTTACCTCAGCCATTCGGTGGGGAAGTGGTCTTTGTGTTGATCAGTCGACTGACAGGTCAAAATCTATCTAAAAGCTGCCAAAAGGACAACAACCCCCCGGTCCCCAAACCCTAACTACTTGAGAGAATTATTATGAGAATTATTAATTTTCTGAGATCTAACATTTTTAAAATAAGTCGCTGTGGACACTGCTGAATTGTGACCCACTTCCACAGGCACTAAGGAAGAACAGGCGCAGTTGGTGCTGCATTCCCTTATCTGCCCACAGGTAGGGAAGGTGTGAGGACACTGAGGATGCATGTACAGCCCCAATGGACAGCACTGACCAAACTTTTTTGGACACATGGCATGAGTCCATACATACTAGAAGAGGGTATCTGCAGAGCTTTAATTAAAAGTAAATACAAACCAATTAAAAATTAGTCTTCCAGGATATTACTGTGAAGCCTTCAGGAACTGCTTATCAACCTGTACATCAATTCAAATATACCGTATATACTCGATCATACCGTATATACTCGATCATAAGCCAGTTCGTTTATAAGCTGACCCCTCCAAGATGGATAAGTAAAAATGGAAAATTTTTATGACCCGTTCATAAGCCGACCCTATAATTCAGGGGTCAGGAAACTTTGGCTCCCGGGCCATCAGGATAAGCCGCTGGCGGGCCGAGATGGTTTGTTTACCTCGAGCATCCGCAGGCACAGAGGTAAACCTAAGTAAACAAAGTGTTCCGGGGGCAAGCCAGCTACTTACCCTGATGGGCTGGGACAGCAACTGGTGGGGAAATTTTTTTGGGGAGGAGAAGCTGGGGGTCAGGGGAGTAACCCCTGTGACCACCCCCCACATGACCCCACCCCTAGCCCGGGACCCCCCCACTCTCCCCATCCCATCCCTTCCCACCTTATCTGGGGAGGGCCAGGGGAGGACGTCTGTGGCCTGGCTGGAGCTGCTCCGGCAGACCAGGCAGTGCAGCCGCAGCCTGCTCCAGCGGGCCAGACCGGGTGGCATGGTCACAGCATGTTCCAGTGGGCTGGGCTGGGTGGCACGGCCGCAGCATGCTCCAGCGGGCCGGGTGGCGCGGCCGCAGCCTCCTCTGGGGGGTGGGGCTGAGTGGCACGGCTGCAGCCTACCAGCCCCGGAGTTGCAGCTGCTTTGGAGGCTAGGGGGAGAGCAGCGTGGCCAGAAGTGGAGAGACTCTGGCCCCGCCTCTTCCCTTCTGGCTGTGCTGCCTCTCCTTGCTTCCTCTGTTGGGGAGAGGGGCTGTGTCCCACCTCTCCCTCTCTATACCAATTCATGAGCCGACCCCCTTCTCTGGTGCTTCCCTTTTTTACTAAAAAATTCAGCTTATGAACGAGTATATACGGTAATACTTTATGTGAAGTCTAGTAAGATTACCCAACTTTTCTTAAAGGATGTTCAAGCAAACTTTTTCTATCTAATAAATAGTACCATAAGCAACTTTACCATACCAAATAGTACCAAAAAGCAGTTTACCAGCTGGTTTTGAATTTGGTTCTTTAAAAACGAATACATTTTATTTGTGAAATGAAATGATTTGCTTTTGAGCCATTCTAAAATAAAGTCTTACACATTCATTAGACTTTCACTGTATAAAAATGTACAGTGGTTTTATTGACATGTACATTCCATTATGTTTACAGCTGCAAGATATGAGGCACACTCAGTATTGCACTTCATTAAAATTTCAGGCTCAAACATAACCCAGAAGTTTAAATGAAACTGCTGTTGTAATTTAGTAATTCTTATACAGGACAAACATTGATATTCTTTATATACAGCGTGATACTTGTTACATTTATGCCTTCCTAACACAATTTTTTTGTAACAGTCTAGGAAATAAACGAGAATACTCCTCTTTCCCACCCCCACCCATGATGCAGTTACAATTGTACAGGATTACAAAAAGTCAGTATACAATAATCCGTTTTTTCTTTCTTCGTCTGAAAACCAGCATCATTCATAGTCCACAGACACAGAGATCCTTTAATAGCAATTATTTATTTGTAAATGTCCAATGCTTCATAGCCGATGACTGTAATGGCCACATGCAAACATCTCACAATTTTTGATGTCTTAGTTCAAAAAACGTCAATTTCTCACAGCATGGTACATGGTATTTGGCATCCTTCTTGCACTGTAAATTGTTCCTTTTACCTGGGTTATGAAATGGTCCCATCCTCATCATGACTGGACTTTATATTCTGTTTAGGACACTTGTGGGATGAGGACAACTGTTTTGCTCTGGTAAAAAAATTACTAGTCTAAAAAGTGTGTGCATTTCTGCAAACCCCACATCCCAGAGCAAATTCCTCACCAGTGGGTGGATGGACAACATGAAGTGGACACTCTGTTCCTTCAAGTTGTTTGCCTTTCGGACCTGCAATCAGTGTAAAGGGAAAAAGACATTTTCAAAACTTCCAAATCTTATGTAAATAAAACTGTACAAGTATTGAAAAACACAGTATTAAATAGAGAAATCTGTCTGAATTTATAGGACACCGATAAAAAAGATTTGGGAAAAATGCAGTTCGTATAGGAAAAAGTAGTTACGGGACACTTTCACATGACCAGCTTCTATCAGGCATTTAAAAATTAGAACTTTTACAGGATGAAAAGTGAATAATTGTGAGCAGTTTGACTAAGCCTAACAAAAAGGGCCAGGACTGTTGGCTTCTACAAGATTTACAACTTCAGGTCAAGGATTAAACACAAATTTGAAGAAAAACCCCAGACTATTCGACTGCTATCTAGTCATAGTAAATCAAATTCATTATGGAAAATTTAGTCAAAATTTTATTGAAAGAAAATTATAACATATACTTGTTAAATGAAATTTCACCTGAAGAACAATTTAGGAGTTAGGCCAACAATTACTTCCCTGGTGTATAAGTGAAACATTAAGCAACTTAGTAAAAGTATGTATTGCCCTTTCCCTTCAAATTATCTAACACTATGTGAAAAGCTATAGGTAGCACATGAAACATAATATTAAAATTCACAATTCTGGTGAGACCATCAGATGCAGTGGCACACGATGATGCCAGGAACTAGGGGATCAGCACAGTTCAAAGTGCTTTCCTTTATAATTGCAGGATAAGTACTCAGCTCTGGCTACACCATTTCATGTTAGGAAGTTTGTTTATTATCTTTCTTTGGTCCATGTGGTAGCATGCAACTCCAGTAGTGCGTGGAGGCAATTTGCTGAAGAAAGGAAGTTTCAAAGTATCTAATGATGTGTTGATTTTACTGTGATAATAGCATTGCTCATTTTGGAAACCAGTATTTCCAGAAAGAAATGAATCACAGAACAAAATAATCCATACTATGAAGATTATCTAAAATGTTGAATTTAAGACATCACATGATTAATTTTGCTATATTTCTAAAAATTAGCAAGATCAATTGTAATAGAATAACTGGCTGACTAAATAATTTTCTGGTCATTTAGATTGTTAAAACTATTCTGTAAAAAACATTACCTGCAGGACAATGTGGAAGTTCTTCTTTAGTGATACTTGTCATTCTTTGGAAATCATCATGGCAAGCATTGCAGAAATGTGTTGTCCCAAAGCAGAAAAACACAGCTACTGAGCAGCAGTACCGACATTTGTACTCCAAGAAATCTGTACCATGTTTGGGACACATCTGCATAGAAAGAAAACAAAAAAGTGCTGTTAACATTAGAAACCGAACTGTAACATGTAAGCAACATATTTACATATTTGAAACATCTGTCAAAAATTAAACAAATATGTATATTTTACTACAAATAAACCTAATTGCTGTACAGCTCAGATAACTATTTAAAAATCTTTAAAAGAAAACAAAACTAGTCTGCTTACCTGTGCCCTTGAAACATCAGAGCATGCACCACAAATAAGCTCTCTTGGATCATAATCATCTCCTTGTCCAGCCTCAGCATCACAACGAGCTTCACCACCAAAATATGCCTAAATGTGACACAAATGACTGAAGATTAAAACTGAAGAGATTGGGGACAAAGAGTTTATATTCCTGTTACCAAATTCATATGCATGGAGAAGATGATAAAGGCTCTTGGTACAATCTCTTTATTAGGTTCTATAAGGTTAAACCTTTTTAAAAAAATAATCCTTTTTCCACCATGACCCTCAAAATGGCCAAAAATTATCCAGCAATCCAACATATACCACATACATGTCTTTAATATGTGCAAAAGATTGCAGGGTTTGGATCACGGGATGATTTTTGGGCCATTCTATGAGTGCATATCAAGAAGGTGGGGGCAGGGTGGTGCTGCTGAGGTGATGCTAGAGTTGAAGGGAAGCTTCCCCCTCCCTTCTACTTTCCCACCTGCCAGCACAGTACTCAGATCCAGGGGAGGGGAAAATCCTGCCCCAACGGGCTATGAAGCTGGCTTGAAGTGCCACTCCCTCTGCCTTGGCCCTTAGAACCAAGTCCTAAATGGGCAAGGTAGCAGAGAAACTGCTCTACAATTGGGTGGAGAGCAACAGGGTGGGCAAAGACAGCAGAAGTGAGGAGTAGGAAATGAGCTGCACCTTCCTTCCCATGCTCAGGCTCCTGCTGGCCAAGGCATTTTGCTGCTCTCTGTTTTTGGTTTTATGGCACAAAGGCACACCAGGCAGCCATAAAACACACACTAAGCAGGGCTGCCTACTCTGTGGAATTTCCTTATATACTTAAGTGTTTTCAGACACTGCTATTGATTGGTGGGTGGGAACCCCCATCTTATTAGCTGCCCTTTCCCAACCTCCAGGGGAAAGACAGCTAATCAGAGCTACTGGATATACTAAATTATAGGACTCTTAAGTAAAACAGCAGCTGCTTCCTGCTATCTCTGCACTGCCTGAAAAGCACCCTCTTTCTGCCTAAGGGGATGTGGGTGGACTGTCAGTGATATTTTCTCCTCCTCCCCCTGAAAAAAAAGTCTGGAAAGGAGCCTCCAGGCCACTATCCAGGAAGGAAAACCCTTTTGGAACCCCAACCCTGCAGACCAGAGAGAGGAGACTTCTAAACCGTGTGCTCAGGTGTTAAACATTAGGCGTGAGTGAGGGTTCAGGAATTAAATAAAATCACAGGGGTCAGTAGCCTGAGGATAACTAAATGACAGATTGGGGGTGAATACTAACATACGGGAGTGGACTCAATACAGAATACTACAGAGGGGATGCATGTGTGGGAGAGAGTACAGAATGAAATACGAGGGTGTACAGCATGCTGGAAAGAAAACATGATATGTAATGAGAGCAGAAGGTGTGACAGAGGGAGAGGCAGAAGAAGAAAATACCTTTGGAGGGGAGCCAAAAACTCAATTGGTTGAGAGTTGCAATAGGGGAGTAAGCATTGATTAATTGTGGGAGGTGGGAACAGAACTGAACAGGGTGGATGGCAAGGGGAGTTTTCTAACAAAATAGGATGCCCTCATTCTTTTGAGATGGCACCATCCTCTGTTCAGCTAAGGTATCTGATTTCTGAACCATTCTCTCTCTCTACTGTAGGTTTCACAGGGCTAGGGCTGTGTCTTTTTCTATGTTCTTTTTTAGTGCTTTTTGGATTTTACAGTGCAGCTTTTCTAGTTTTCATACTCTATAAACAAATAAGTGATGTTTTGGCAACATTACATCAATTTAATCTGAGAAGTGCTAGCAGTCATACCTTTTTGCATTTGTAGCAAACATAATAAGCATATCTGTTCATGGCATAGCTAGCTGGGTCATTATAAAATCTAACGCCAGGTGTTGTGATGGCCTCACTCTTGTGCAATCCTTCATACTCCAACCTCATTAGAGCTTTCCTCCTCACGTCTTCATAGAGTTCTTTGATTGGATCAAGCAAGTCTTTTAATACCGTATGATTAATTTTGTTCTAAAATAAAGAACAACTGATAAGAAACTTGGAATATTGTAATACTTTCATTATAACAATATTAGTATTTATTTGTATCATGGTAGTGCCAAAAGGCTCCATTGTGCTGGATGCTGAACAATCACAGAAAAGAATACAGAATATGTATTTCAAGGAGGGGTAGCTACACTAGATGCTTGTTCTTTTCAGCTACTGGCCTCATGGCAAACAGGAATACCCTTTTACCTCAAATTTTTGAAACTCAGATCCATAAGCTTGAGGGCTGGTCTAGCTTACATTGGGCTGTAGCAGCCACGAGGGGGCTAAAAAACACAGCAGAGGATCAGTGTAGCATAGGAGTACCCCAGTCACACCATTTCTCTGTCCATGCTCCCTTTTCCCTTCTTCATCAGCAACAAGGAGGGTATGTGACATAAGAGCCCCTATATTGGATCCATGCCACTGGAAGATCGCCCCCTACACAAGCTCCTATCATGACTGCAAATATAGAAGTCCAGCGCAGTGGAGTTGCTAATGGCCAATAAATTCAATGTACTTATATTCTAATATGCCCTCTTTTCTGGCAGCTTCATAGAGGTGACTGAGTCTTATGCACACGTGCTATTCATTACCACCCTTCTGTGGTATTGAAAGACAGGTTAAAAAGGCATCTTGCTAATGTTGGAGCTACCCTAGTCCTGCTGCTTGAGATAATTTAGGCTAAACCGAGGGAAGCGTGGAGTGTAGAGACTTAAAGTCTTCACTTATTTTGTAATGGCTACATTGCATCCAACTCTTGGATTATTACAAATTGATAGATCTAAGTATATAAAAATAATTAAAAAGGACTTCTGCATTATTTTCATTTTTTATGAGAAACCATGTTTGTAGGCACAGTGGGCAAGAAAAAAAAAAAAAAAAAAAAAAAAAAAGGACCCTCCCATACCCACAATTTACGGTTCTTTCCTTTCAGCTATGTTGGAAAGGATGGGTTATTCATCTTGTAGTAACTTGAGTTCCTTGAGATGTGTAGCGCAGGGGATCTCCAGCTGTGCACATGCTCCAGGCAGAGCAGAGATTTTTCCCTAGCAGTGTTTGTCTGGTCTACGCATGTACCCCCGCTCTCCTCGTTCTCATACTCTGCAGAGTAGATAAAGGGACTGCTGGACCACCACCATTTTAGTTTCTTCTCTACTGCCAATTCCCAGTAGGGGGAAATCAGGCAGAGGGTAAGGAGGGTGAATAGTGCACTACACACAGGGACAACGCACCGTGAAGAACTCAAATGACTAGAAAGTGACAATTCAAGTCATTGTCCCTATGTGTAATGCACTTCAGATGATTCAGAAGCAATATCTCTATTGAGGAGGTGGGTGTCTGGAGTCCTACGACTCAATGATTGCAGAAATGCCCTGCCCAAAGAGGCATCGGAGGCAGCTGCTTGCACCCGTTCCATGTCTAGCCAAAGTGTGTACAGAGCTCCAAGTTGCTGCTTTGCAGATGTCAGAAGCGGGACATCTGTAAGGAAAGCTACCGATGCTGTCAGAGTTCTCGTCATGTGTGATCTTACACTTCCTTCAAGAGGAACAATGTTCAGTTCATAGCAGAGTAGGATGCAACCAGAGATCCATTTGGACAGCCTCGGGGGGAGGGATGGGGGGAGAGAAGAGGAGGGGAGAGAGAATGGCCTCGTTTCATTTGTTCTGCAAATGATATAGAGTGTCTTGGAGACTTTTTAAACGATTTTGTCCTCTGTAGGTAAAAAGCAAGAACCCTACATACATCCATTGAGTGCCACATTTCTTCCATGCTAGAGTGAGGATTAGGGTAGAACACAGATAAGGGGATACTTTGGTTGATAAGAAAGTCAGACACCAACTTCAGGACAAGTTTTGGATGTAGTCTCATGCATCCCTTTTTCTTGTGGAAAACCATATAAGGATGATCAGCCATGAGTGTCCCTAGCTCTCCAACTCTTTTGGCCAACATGACAGCAGCCAAGAACACTAGTTTCATAAACACGTAGCAGAGAGCAGCCTGCCATAGGCTCAAACAGTGAGTTTATCAGCATTGATAAAACCAGGTTCAAGTCTCAGGCTCATACAGGTTTTGCCACTGGAGGGAACACTGTAATCAGACCCTTTAGGAAACAGGATGTGACTGGGTAAGAAAATACAGAGTAGGTATCTGGCAGATGAAATATGTTGGTGACAGGCAGGCGAATCCTGAGAGAAATAAGAGACAGTTGTGTGGATTTTAAGGATAAGAGCTACGTCCAGCACATCTGGAATCTTTGCCTATAAAGGGGAAATTCCTTGTTCTTTGCATCAAAACATAAACCTGTTCCACTTAGCCTCATACCGTTTCCCAGTAGAATCCTTTCTACAGCTGTTCAGGATGGCCTGGACATCAGCTGAGCAGACCTATTCTAATTCTGACATCCATCTAAACAGCAAGCCCTATCGTAAAGTATGGCTGGGCTGGAGTGTTAAGTCCTTCCCTCAGCCAGCATTAAGAGGTGTCACATCAGAGTGATAGATACAGACAATTGCAATAGAATGGGGTACCAGACCTGGCAGGCTCAACCTGGTGCTATAAGAATGGTTTGTGCCATGTCCTGTCTGATTTTCCTTAATACCCATGGTAATAAGCGAACTGGGGGGAGGGGGAGGGGAGGTAAAACTCAGGACTCCTGGCCACTGTATGAGAGGAGGACACCCCTCACAGCATAGTGTGGAGGTCATCATCCTCAGGAATTGGTGCCGTTCCTACTCACGTTGTGTGGAGAAATGTCTGCTTAGAGAGTCCACCAGGGTGTTTTGGATTCTTGGCAAATGGACTGCAGTCAGGGTAATCTGCATGGAAATGCAACAGTTCCGGAGGGTGACGGCCTCCACGCAAAGCTGTGAGGAGTGTGCTCCTGCCTGCTTGCTGATGGAACAGACCGCCATCATGTTGTCTGATAACACCTGGATCGACTGGAATTGCTCAAAGGACAGCCTGCCTGCTCTCAGTTCAAACACTCTGATGAGAGCATAGATTCCTGAGGAAACTGTCCTTTGAGCAACCTATCACGCCATGTGTGCTCCCCAACCTAAAATGGGTGTGTCTGTGGTTATAGTAATTGTTGGAAGTGAGGAATTGAGTGGTGCGCCCACACATACCTTTCTCCATCCTCCCACCAAAGAAAGGAAGCTAAAACCCTTCAACGAACCACAACTAAAAAGTCTAGACTGGTTTACTGGGGCACACAGTCTGTAAACAGGCATGCTGACATCTGAGATGAAGCCTTTCAACCAGGTTCACACAGGTACTTGCAGCCATATAACCCAATAGTGCCATAAGGCAGGAACATAAGGAGGTCCTGGGGCTCATCTGGATGCACTGTACTAGTCTGATGATGGAGAGAGGAAGCGATTGTCTGGTAAGTATGCCCTGGACATCACAGTGCCCAGCCTTGCCCTGATAAACTCTGTTGACTGAGTGGTTTCCAGGGTGAACTTCTCCAGGTTCACACTGAGGTCTAGCCTCTCAAACAGGTCTAGATGGATGACAGTTGCTTCTTGTGACTGTCCCTTTAAGAGCAAATTGTCTAAGTATGGGTATACCATCCCCCTTGACAGTGAAAGTGAGCATGTGCTGACTGGACATGAACCTCAAATCTCCTTTGTGCCAAATACATATCCATATGAAATAGTTGTCTTTGAGATTGAGGGCCAGGAACCCATTTCCTGGATTGAGAGAAGGAATAATTGGATCAACATTCTGAACTTTAGGCAGTGGATGAACTTGTTTCCTAAAATCCAGAATGGGTCTCCATATGAGAGTCGCTCCTCAAACTACAGGTGATAGAATTAGTACCTCTAACAGCAAGGGGAAAAGGGGTTCAACTTGAGGTACTTCCTCATCCTGCAGAAGAATGCTCTCATGATAGGGGTCCCTGAATGAGGACTGGAGGGGCAATTGGGGAAGAAAACTGGATGATGTACCCCGAAGAGATGACCTCTAGTACTCATCTATTGGTCATAATTTCTGCCCAGGTAAACAGGCAGTGGGAAAGACCAGAGATCTGGTCTAGATCCAGTTAGTGGGTGTGCGGCTCTCAAAGGTCCCATCAAAACATTGGTTTTAAAGATGGCAATGGTTGGGAGGTGGACGGTTGTCCCTGGGCACCCTTTCTATGAGTCCTTTGATACTTGCATGGTGATCCTTGTTGGTGGTAATCGAAAGCAGGTGGGGCTGGTCTCTGTCTAAATGGGCGTAGTGGATTTTCTTTTAATTTGTAAGTGTAAATATCCAGTGATCGATGTATGGTTTGGGAGTCTTTCAATGAGTGGAGAGAACTGTTTTTGTGCTAAATCGTTTGTTGCACCTGAATGGCAGGTCTTCTACAGTTTATACCTCCTTGGGAATCCCTGAGGAGGAGAGTCACGATGAATGCCTCATTATCACTGCTGTCACCACAGACCTTGCCACAGTATGAAACACGTCTAAGGCTGTCTGGAGTCCAGTCTAGTCACCAGCTTTCCTCGTCAATCAGGGCCTGGAACTGGGCTCTGTTGTCATGAGGTATCTTATTGGTGAAGTCCGCTAATTTGTTATACATGGAGAAATCATATGTTTGGCTATCAACGCTTGGCAGTTTGAGACTCAAAACGTTGTCTATTATACTCAGTGGCCACTGATACTACCAACAAGTGGGTGAGAGAATAGATAATCTGTCCCTTTTGCAGGTATGAAAAACCTCTTTTTTTAGCCTGTTTCAATGCTGGTGGAACTTGTGGCAGGCATCTGCCGAAGTGTCCTGGTGGGTTTGAGGATGGCTTTGTTAATTAGAAGCCCAACTCTACTCAGTTCTGAACTGTGTGGGATGTCTAGCACTCTGTGCGGGGCTTCCTGGACCTCTTCCGGGGGATCTGTAGTGACTCTTTCACACTCTTAAGTAAATCCTGGAAGGCTTCAGGATTATCAGAGTGTGATGGGGAAACTGGAACCACTGCCTCATCTGGAGAAGAGGACAAGGTCACTGACGTGGTACCCTCCTGTTCCCCATGCTGCTGCTGTTGCACATCTTGAGGAGGCAGAATATGATCTTTGTCTTCTCCAAGAACCCTAGATCTCCTTGAGTCTCCTATCTGACAACATTGCTATGTTGGGTGGTAGTCTTCTGGACCATCTGGACCTCAATACTGCCACTCATACCCCTTCAGTGTAGAGCTCTATGGTGCTGGGTAAGTACAGGGAGGATATTCTCTCAAATGGGAGTAGTGTGATACCCTGGAGACTCCTGACATTCTATCTGGGCTCAATCTCTCAAGGAATCCCTTGGGGCATAGTCCAGGGTTGGGTGTCTCCCACAGTCCTCTTCCAACTCTGAGGATTTGGATCCCGGATCCATAGGGGGTGCCCTCAATACAGGAGATGATGGTGACCTGCCTCTACTCGTTGCTGGTACTGCCAACAGTCTGGCTTAACCCCTACTTGACGATTGGGATGGAGGAGTACCAGTGGGAGATCGGTACAACCTGATGAAGTCCTGGTACTGGATCTGGAAAGTAATGGTGACTCCAGTTCTGGGAGCACCATACAAGCATTCGGTGCGCCAAGAATCAAGACAGAGCAGACAGTGTCATTTCTGTAACTCAAGCCATTAAAGCAGAGGGTGCCAGATCTGGCAATACAAATGTGGTAGATTTTGGTGCCGAGGGACCAGTCTTGGTACCAAATGGTGGTGCAGTCTTGCCCTTTGAAGAAGTCCCAGTCCAGTCCTTCCTGATACCGGATGGTCCCACCACAGAGCACAAAGCCTTTGATGGTTGGTATAGGATGGGGGAACTTCTGCCTCTTTTTAAAGGGCTTGGACAGGGATCCTTCCCACTTGTCCTTAGGAGATGACTTAAGTCTCCCTTCCCCCGTCTGCTCTGGCTCTGCTCTACTGAGTCTCTTATAGCTGAAGGGTTGCCAGAGGTCTTGGAACTGGCTGGGACAGAAGAAGAGGGGCTAGCTAGTTTTATCTTCTTCAGGCTGATGTACAGCAGAGTCTCGCCAGTCTCAGGTTGTTCCCGCCTTTATGGACTCCTCCATGAGGGAATTTTGGGGTTGAACTCCCTCAACTTCTTGATCCTATTTGGGAACAATCTGCAGATACTGCACCTGGAAGGATGCAAGTTTCCCCCAGGCAGTACAGACAGAGGTTGTGGTACTCTGTGCCCTAGAAGGGTTTGTGGCACTTGATGCAACTTTTAAAGGCTAGGGATCCTTGGCACACTCCCCAAACTGTTGGAGAACTGGGATTGGGAGGGGGAAAGAGGGGAGAGTTGAGAAATCTCTGCCCATCCCAGATGGAGGGTTCCAAGAATTAAGGAATCAACCCCCTAAAAACTATACTAAATTTCAACTTTTTACAGAGAGAAGCCGAAGAAGTTAGAATACTCTGTCCTAGACCATGAACAGTAAGAGTGAACTAAACTGGTGGTGATCCAATATGCCCTATTTATTCCTTTGATGTGGAGCATAAGGAGATGTGGGGTGCATACCTGAGGGACACTGCTCGGGAAAAATCTCTGCTCCTGGGTGCATGTGCAACCTGAAGGGCAGTATATAGAGGGACAAGCACTTGAAGAAGAACTGAGGGCTTGTCTACACAGGCGCTTAGTGCATGGCTAGCTAGGATCTGAGCATACAACTCCCTAGCCTGCTGTGCACTAAAACCGGCCATGTGGGCCCTGCTGCTGCGAACTAAAAATTCCATAATGTGTTTTGACATACAGCTGTTTGAAATGGAAGTATGTCAAAGCACAGTACAGAACTTCTAGTGTACAGCCGTAGGATCTACACAGTCACTTAGCGTGTGACAAGCTAGTGCATTGTAGATTTACAGCCTGGCTTGCTACATACTAGGTCTCTGCATAGACAAGCTCTGGGAATGAAAATGAGCAATATCTAATGTCCAGCATAAGTAACATTAAAGTAAGCACTTGTAGATACTCTGTGCTACATATAGTAAACACATCATCCTTACCTTGCAAATAGGACAAGACATAAACCCAAAAGTTATCCTGGGCCCAAGCCATCTGTTTTCTAGTACTCGACGACAGCACTGCAAGTGGAATACATGACTGCAGTCCAACTTTAAGAAAAAAGGAAGATGTATGAGTAACTACTGTACTGTAAATTCACAAGTTGCAATAGCTACTGTAATGAGACACCATTATATTTGAGTTTTTGATTTTAACTAACACTAGGTGTTAAATTGCAAATTCACTTAAAATCTTATCAGAAAAGCCTTTCCAACCATGAAAAGAAAGAATATTAATGGCCTTTAAAATCAGTTACAAAACTGAAACTTTTGCATAACACTAACCACTGGACATATGAAATCATCAAAAGTTACCAAGTTAGCATACTAACTACAGTAAAATCTTCAGACATACAACGTACACCCCCTCTACAAGGTCTATGTTTATGCATATGCCCTTTTTTGGAATATGTAACAAATTGCTTGTATAAGAAATGGGCACAATTTTAATATGATCTGTCCCTTGCATACAAAGAGTGGTACATAAGGAAGAAAAGGGTGGTGATTTAAAACACTTCAAAAAAATACTTCTAAGTGAGGTGGATTTTCAGTTACAAACACAATGTTCAAAATAGAGGAAATGTACACACCAAAATGATCCTATTTGCATTCTCAACCAATTGAGAGAGCAGTAGTGTTAGACACACAATGTGATTCTCTGCACACTGACATTACGTACTCTTTGAAGCTTTTAAAAATGCATCCCTTCAAAGGAAATTGTAAACTCTTAAAAATTTAACAATGTTGTATAGAGTTCATTTATTAAATAACAAAGGCAAACCTGGATAGCTGGTGCTGCTGAAAGTGCTTCAGTAAAACAAATCATGCACATGTCATCAGCATCTTGTTTAAGAGCTGTGGCGTTCTTATCACAACCATGCAGGCACGGCAAACAGTGCTCTTCATTCTTAACACCTCCACATGGGTGACCACAAGGATGAGTCTTGCTACAAGCTATCTTAGCATACTCCTATTAAAAAGGAATTCTTAAATTAACATTTTTTCTAATCAAAGAATCATTTTGTACATTGCAATATATTTATTCTGTTGTTTCTTGAAGTAGTCTTTCTACCTGCAATGAAAACTCAGGTTAGGGAGCAGTGACAATAATTGTCTAAGTATAATACAGACATCAGTATAGTTAGGAATACATCGAGTTCTAGGACTTTGAAGCAAAACAGATGTTTTAATTTGCTTTTGCTATGTGACACCTGAATAGCAGAACCCTAATGAAACTTTATTTAAAGAAAAATTACTTTTGATCACACACTTTACAGAACCTTAAACTATTTTTCTCTGTTCTTCCTGTGTACATATTTTGTGCATTTGTTAGCAGTTTTTATATGGTTAGATTCACGGCTTACCCTGTGTAATCAGTCACTTTCCAGTTCACAGTAACAGAGGTGAGAAGAAACATTTAAAAAATAAGAAAAATGGGAACAGAAGGCCATACAAATTGGCAGGGAGAGTAAGTAAGTATTATTCACAATTCAAAATTATTTGGATGACAGGGCCTTTAGCTTTTATCTTGTACTGCTGGTTGTAGACTCAACTATATACTAATATTTCATCTTCATGAGATAAAGTGAGGTTTGTATACATACCTGGCAATCTGCATCAGAACAGACACTGCCTACTGCTGATAACTCTGTTCCACTCCTACAACCACAGAAACGACATGCTTCAGAGCTGCTGGTGGTTGGTTTGCCTAAGCCCACAAAACAAAAACAAAAAATCAGAATTTACCAAAATGAAGTGATTATCAACCAACATACTAATAGTAGCCTTAACTATCCCATGAAATGAGCAGGAAAAATGTAATTACTAAGGAAATTCAATGAATCTAGACTAAACTGCCTCATGCATGGGCTAGAAGAACTCTCTGCTCATGGGATTTTCGCAAGTAACCATAGAATCACACATCTCTAAAGACCACTAAACACAACACAAGGATATGAAAAATACTGCAAATTTTTGGCAGAAATACATTATTATTATTATTATTGTGATAACACCTAAAAAAAGTGTGCCAGCCACCTTATGTACATGTAAAAAAGATGGTTTCTTGTCTTGAAGACCTTACAATTTAAGACAAATTACAGCCAAAGTGGAGAGAGAAAGGCTTTGTTTTTTTTTTTTTAAATTACCTCACACTGAACACTTTATTTACTTGATCTCATACCTAGCTAGAACTGCCTTGATTACAAAAATTATTAATCCTAGCTTGATTCACCCTTATTTGGAATTTCAACTCATTTATTTTCTCTCTTACATTACTAGGTGTTTTGTATTCTTACGAAATGACATATCAAGATATTTCCCCTTCAAAAGGGGAGTTTGTCAAGTATTTGTCATGTCAGTTACATGAGAAAGAAAGCAGGAAATCTTCCAAGTCCTGTTTAATTTATAAATGTTTGCATTCCCAAAGCTTAAACTAGCGTATGGGGAACTACATTTTACAAGCAATATCAGTTTCATCTTTAAAGACCACTAAACACAATGAAAGGAACAGCATCCCTTGAGGGGGGAAGGGGGAAATGGAACAGCATGAAATATATATTTTTCTTTGTTTTACTAAATCTAATGAAAGATAAAGTACTTCTGATTCTTGGGACCCCCCCTCCAACCCCATGCTATCAAAGTTAAAATTCAGCAGTTCAGCGCATCACTCAAGGGTAAGATAATGGAGCATCTTTCCTATTAATTTGTGACCATAAAAGGAGTATATGGAAGCAGGCAGGTACACAGCTGGCTTTTCTTATTATTATAGATGCTGCACAGAGGCCAACGTATCTGAACATTCTGATCACTGTGAAAAGGGTTGTAATTAAGGGCTATGGGATGGTTGTATTTTTACCACCCAAATGCTCTGTAAATGTAACACAATACTTGGAATGTAATGACTATCCAAATGCCAAGCTGGACACTGTCCACAGCTCAGCATTGTTGTGGTCTTTTCTCTCTAGTAGAAAAGTCATCACAATACTATGTCTATGGGTAATTTAGAAGTGTTTATATTTTAGGGCAGTGGAAAAAGTTTGTTTTTGGAGAAATTAGCATTAACATTGTTCAAGGGTACTGAAACTATTATTTATATATATTTTTCTAATTACCCAACTCAATTTTGTTAATGATAGATTAGGTTCTTTTCTATATGGTGTGCCCACCTTCCTCAAAAGAAAATAAAACCATTTTATAAATCATTCAAAAGTAAGTACAAGTGACAATTATTTATGGGGTACTACTCTCAATTTGTAATACTCCCTTTGATGAAAGTGGGAGTTGCATGAGTGGATAAAGAGTGGTAATATCAACTCAAGAATCCCCCATTTAAAAAATTCTAGCATTTCAAAGAGCTAAATATCCAATTATTATTATTGTTGTTTACTTTACTGTAGCACCTAGGAGTCCTAATCTTGATCCCATTGTGTCAGGCATTGTACATAAACAGAACAAAAACATAGTACCTGCCCTGGAGCTTACAATGTTTCTAAACTCAAGCATCCACTTGGTGTTGCAAAGCACCACCAACATGCTACCACCAAGGCAATATATAATTTACCAGGATTCAGTGCTTTGTTTTAAATAATAGAACTAATAAAGCATTAATGTAAAGATTCAGAGAGTAACATTTCCAGAAACTGATCTTTTGGAGAAGCTTAAGAAAAAGTAATCAGGATGAGTAAGGAACAAGAAATATCTGATTTTTACCTGTTTGTTCTCTAAACTCCACCATAGCCTTCATAGTTTTAGAGTCTGCTAGTGCCATGAGCCAGAAAAGTTTGGTCCTACCACAGCCTTCATGAAGATCAACTTTGATAGCTTCTTCCTCTTCTTTAAATACCTATCAGTTTAACCATATGGGTATTCAATAGTACTCTTACAAAAAGCTGAGTCAGTAAGCAATAATAAAAAAACTTTAGTTTTGGTATCACCTGTAAGTTTACATTTTTTGTCGCAATTCTCATGGGTGTTATGGAGTCTGTATTGCAAGTTTTAAAAATATGACTTTTATACATTCTGTAATTTGTGTGCATGCAAGGAGTGGGATGATATGATGATTTGGAACACACTCTGAAGGGTAAAAGCTACAAATTAAAACCTGGATTGGCCAAAGAGTCAACAAAGAAAACAAGAACACTGAAAAGCAACGCAGCTATGCTAAGAACCAGAATGATGTGAAGACTCCCAGTGAAAGCTTTACACTTCAGGAGGCCTTAAATTACCCTACAACCTCTTGTGTAAAGTAAAATTGTTTACATCTAAAAAATCAGCGTAGGTTTATAAAAGGTAGGCTCTGGTATGGCAACAAATATATTGAAAACTGTTCTGTCTTAAGGTTTCTTATAATGCCCATCACTGTAGTAACTAAACACTTCCCAGGTACATTACAATTAGATAGCGAGACCTCAAAAGGACTTCATGCAGTTTTCTGGTTTTCTGCCTTTCCTGGTTAGGAAGGCTCTGCTTGAATTGATTTTACATATACTATCGTAATGAAAGTGAGAGAACCTTCCTGTGTATATATATAAGATCTCTCACTATCACAGAATACATACTGTTCTTGTTTGCAACAGAAGTAGAAAAATGTTATTTTTGAGTACAGATTTTTTTTTAACTTTTGCCTTTTTGTTAAATAAAAGTATTCCCATGATGTTTGCCCTGTTCACCATGATCATCTGTGACCTACTAAAAATTGGCCATGACAAATTACACTGGTCTACAATTTTTGAGAAGTCGTCTGCTTCTGAGATAAAATGTGCTATTTATTATGTATTTTGATGTGCTGAATTCAAATATGACAATTAAAACAACTGATTGGCTACTGTTTCTAAGATATTTAAGTTTTTACATTTTATGTCTATGTATGTTGTGTAGATAGTAGAGTTTTAATCATAAATTGTAAACCTAGGTCTTTTCATGTGTTTATGGTTGCTTTACATGATAATATTTCACCTGTCCTGTTTATGTAACACTTTCAAAATCAGCAAAAGGGTTATATAAATAAAATTTATTATGAAACAAAAGGCAAAAAACTATTCTGTACATAGTTTAGTCCTATTCAGTGTCTACTCGGCGCTTCTTGGCTTGTCTCTTGTATTCATTAAATGGAGCATCTCTTGTCACTGTCCAGCAATAGTCTGCAAGCACTGATGGGCTCCATTTGCCCTGATAGCGTTATTCCATTGTTGCAATGTCCTGGTGAAATTGGTCGCCGTGCTCGTCGCTCACTGCTCCGCAGTTCGGTGGAAAAAAAATCTAGATGAGTGTGCAAAAAATGTATCTTTAGTGACATGTTGCAACCAAGGCTTTTGTATGCCTTGAGGAGGTTTTCCACCAACAACCTGTAGTTGTCTGCCTTGTTGTTTCCGAGAAAATGTATTGCCACTAACTGGAAGACTTTCCATGCCGTCTTTTCCTTGCCACGCAGCGCATGGTCAAATGCATCATCTCGAAGAAGTTCATGAATCTGAGGACCAACAAAGACACCTTCTTTTATCTTAGCTTCTCTTAACGTTGGAAATTTTCCACGGAGGTACTTGAAAGCTGCTTGTGTTTTGTCAATGGCCTTGACAAAGTTCTTCATCAGACCCAGCTTGATGTGTAAGGGTGGTAACAAAATCTTCCTTGATTCAACAAGTGGTGGATGCTGAACACTTTTCCTCCCAGGCTCCAATGACTGTCGGAGTGGCCAATCTTTCTTGATGTAGTGGGAATCTCTTGCACGACTATCCCATTCGCAGAGAAAACAGCAGTACTTTGTGTATCCAGTCTACAGACCAAGCAAGAGAGCAACAACCTTCAAATCGCCACAAAGCTGCCACTGATGTTGGTCATAGTTTATGCACCTCAAAAGTTGTTTCATGTTGTCATAGGTTTCCTTCATATGGACTGCATGACCAACTGGAATTGATGGCAAAACATTGCCATTATGCAGTAAAACAGCTTTAAGACTTGTCTTCGATGAATCAATGAACAGTCTCCACTCATCTGGATCGTGAACGATGTTGAGGGCTGCCATCACACCATGGATGTTGTTGCAGGCTACAAGATCACCTTCCATGAAGAAGAATGGGACAAGATCCTTTTGACGGTCACGGAACATGGAAACCCTAACATCACCTGCCAGGAGATTCCTCTGCTGTAGTCTGGAGCCCAACAGCTCTGCCTTACTCTTGGGTAGTTCCAAATCCCTGACAAGGTCATTCAGTTCACCTTGTGTTATGAGGTGTGGTTCAGAGGAGGAGGATGGGAGAAAATGTGGGTCCTGTGACACTGATGGTTCAGGACCAGAAGTTTCATCCTCTTCCTCGTCTGACTCAAGTGAGAATGATTCTGGTGCATCAGGAACCGGCAGTCCTTCTCCGTGGGGTACTGGGCGTATAGCTGATGGAATGTTTGGATAATGCACAGTCCACTTTTTCTTCTTTGACACACCTTTCCCAACTGGAGGCACCATGCAGAAGTAACAATTGCTGGTATGATCTGTTGGCTCTCTCCAAATCATTGGCACTGCAAAAGGCATAGATTTCCTTTTCCTGTTCAACCACTGGCGAAGATTTGTTGCACAAGTGTTGCAGCATATGTGTGGGGCCCACCTCTTGTCCTGATCTCCAATTTTGCAGCCAAAAAAAGGTGATAGGCTTTCTTAACCATAGTGGTTATACTGCGCTTTTGTGATGCAAAAGTCACTTCACCACAAACATAGCAGAAGTTATCTGCACTGTTCACACAAGTACGAGGCATCTCTGCTCACTTTGGCTAAACAGAAATGTGTCCCTTTGCAAAATCAAACACTGACAAATAAGAGAGCACGACACTGTATGATTTCTAGAGCTGATATAGGGCAATTTGTTCAGCAGAGTGATGTAAGCTTCGTTATGATTGCATCATCCATGACTTCTAGGAATAACATGATGCAATTCATATCATGTATGACGCAATACCAGCTTCAGATTGCATCATTCATTGTTTTGCCTAAAAAGCAAGTACTGTCCAAACCCAGTCATAGATTTATTCATAGTTCCAGTCAAAGATGTATTTTAGTCATTTCTGGTTTAAATTGAGACCCCTTCCCTTTATAACTCACTTATCCTCCGCCATTCCCAAGTCAAGGGTCGTATATACTGACCCAATAGCATATCTTGAAAACTAGAGCCAATCAACAATTTTAAGCATCATTTTCGTTCTCAGTGACCCAGAATTAGTAAAGTTTGACTACATTTATTTCAGAAGCATTTTGGCTGTAGAGCAGTGTTATTATTTGTTAAAACCGACTATGACAGTGATGTAAAGTAAATATTTCAAAATAATCCCTGCCTTAAGAGTTTCCAGTCTAGAACAAAAGTAAACCGTAGGCAATGATTTAAAAATATTTTGTTTTCCAGTTGTGGGGGCTCATGGAAGAAAAAGCTAAACTTCTAAATCCAGGTGGTCCAAAGTTAGGTTCTTGAATCCATAGTTATGTAAATAAATTAAAGTGAGAAACTCTACTTCCATTTGACTTCAGTGGGACTCTAAAGATCAGGACACTTTTACTGGTGCCAAAACAAGAGTTTAGGAACCAAATTCTAGGTCTGAAAATGCTGGAATGTGTCTTGGAGAGGGATATTCAGGAGGAGAGGGTGATGATGACTGGGAGGTTGTTCCTTTCATGGTAGAAGGCACAAAAGACAGGAGTGGATGAATGAAAAATGAGGTGTTGAGGCTGCCATCATAAGTAGAGAGAAGGGGGAGAGGTGGAACATGAAAGATCTTAGATCCACAATATAGAGGCCAGAGTGTAGTTCTGCAGGGTTTGAAGATGAGAATTAGAAATTTAAACATGAATGTAGATGTAACATGGTCTGATTGGCAGGCATTTTGGACAAATTGGAAGGGAAGCAATATGGCACCAAGGAGGCCAGAGAGGTGGTGATTACAATCGCCATGGAAGGAGCTGACATGGGTATATTGGTATAGAAAGTAGGATTAATTTTTGAAATGAAGAAAGATATGGCATGATTTATTGGCATCATAGGTGTATGGAGAGAAGGAAAAGGAATCAAAGGTGACACCAAGATTGCAAACATGAAAAACAGGAAGAAGGTGATGTCAACAGCAGTGGAGAAAGGAGAACAAAGGGAGGGCACAGAAAGAAAAAGAAGGAACTATATTTTGGCTAAGTGAAATGTGAACTGGCTAGGCAAGATAAGTCAGACAGATATACAAAAGATCAGGGGATACAATGAGAACAATTTATTTTTTTAAGGTTGTCGGTGGTGCAGTATGATTATTACAGCACACTTGTATCTTAAGAAAAGACGCTCGAAAGAAGGGGATGAGGGCAGGGGAAATGGTGCTCACAGATCAGGATGGGAGGGAGAGATTTGTGGTGAAGAATAGGTGAGTAGCCTTTCAGTGAGTGATTGGCGTAAAGGAAAAAAAAGGAAATAGGGCAAGGGGCATGGAAGTGAGGAATGGGGGGAGGCGGGGCGAAGGGAGCTATAACAAAGTCAGGAAAAGTATGCAAGGCCCTAAACTGAGAGGGAACGGATTGAGGAGCAGAAAGGGTGTCAAAGAGGGCAAACAATTAATTTTGTTCATAGGCATGGACTCCATGCAAAAGGCAGGGCCGGCTCTAGCTTTTTTGCCGCCCCAAGCGGTGAAGAAAGGGAAAAAAAAACAACAACAAAAAACCCTGATTGAGCTGCCGCCGAAAAGGACAAGAGGGAGCAAAGGTCCCGCTGCCGAATTGCCGCCCCAACAACAGACGGAGTGCCGCCCCTTTCTATTGGCCACCCCAGGCACCTGCTTTGCTAGTGCCTGGAGCTAGCCCTGGTGAAAGGAGAAGTAAACATAACATTTCTGAGGGAGTAATGGATGGATTTTTAGTTAAGGAAGTCTGAATGGTTCTTGGATTTTTCCAGAGAAATTCAATGAAGTTAGAATAGGAAAGAAGGAAACAGATGGGGATTATGAGCCAGGGTTGTGGGATTAGGAGCTGACATTACAGTCCTATTCATAACAACATTCTTTAAGGACAAGAAAATCAAGTAGAATCAAATGCAAAATTAAATGCAAAGTTATCCATCCCTTTTAGAAAGCACAGAGAACAGTTTGTAGATCTATTACTCACTACCACTAACTCTTTTCTAATCTGATTTATCAATAAAACAGCAACAAAAAAAAGCTATTGAAATGCACACTACTTGGTGTCAGAGTAGCAGCCGTGTTAGTCTGTATCCGCAAAAAGAACAGGAGTACTACTTGGTGTGTTTATTTACTCTACCTGTCTCTGATGAGTTTTCGTTCGTCGATGGAGATGAAGGAATCTGTCGCAGTCTGTACACAAATTCCCACAGGCATTACATAAAATGATTGCAGCGGTTTCACCATCATCATGGTTATCGCACATTGGCTGAATAAAGAAGAAAAATAGTGGAATAATTCCTTATACATTAAACCTGCTTCCCTCAACTCCCCTCTCCCTGTGGGCGTCCCATAAAGGAAAGTAGGAAATTAAAACAGGACAATTTGAACTTGTTTTAGATTATAAATTGTCAACTTTGAAATGATCAATATCTAAACACAGTTATGCCTGTCAGAAATGTAAGAAACAAAAGTGCAGTAATGCATCCAATCCCAGATTTGCTTTGTTTAATGAAAATTAGCTCATATTCATCACTAAAATGTCTGGGAATCTATTTTCAAAAAGAGTGAGACAAAGGTCTTGCTGTGCTAACTGATGTGTTACTCAAATTTTGGGAGCATGCTACACTTGATAAAAAAAATTATGGAAACTGATGATGGGGAACCCTCAAAGATGCATCAAAATGGCACAATATCTACCTTTAACTCCCCTGATAGGTTGCCTTTTCTGTCAAGATAAATAATCAAGGCGTAGGTTATTCCACAGTACAATGTGAACAAATTCCATGGTAACAAACCCTAAATTCCACTGTAACATTAATTTATTCTACTGCTATAAAACACTCTCCATTTCCATCTCTACTGCAACACAAACACATCCTCCTTCCAGCTAGGTATGCAAGGGAGTGGGGAACTGGAAGCAGACTTCAGCAGCTCTTCTCCCTGACTGCTGGACTAGTTCTTCATCTGCCTAGCTCACAAGCCTACTCTTCTGACTTCCCCTACTTCCTAGCTGCAAGATGGATTCCAGCTCTGACTCCCCACGCCCTGTTGTCTGTCTCCATTGAACAGTGCAAAGAGCCTGCACTGTAATCCAATTAACTTTCCCCTGGGGAAAAACAGGGGAGAAGAGACAACTGCTGTCAGGTTCTGGAAAGGCAGAAAGCAATCCTTTTTTGTGTCCTTGAACAAATGTTTGTGCGGTGTCCACATTAACATTTACAAATATGTAACCGCCTTGCATTAAGTGACGACCGGTTAATCTCTCCTGCTGAAGCTGTTCCATTTTATATAATATACTTAAATAGTCATTAGAACAAGGACTTGAACTTGGGTCTCCCACCTCCCGTGTGAGTGCCCTAATTACCAGGAAATAGGGTCATTCTCACACTCTCTCTGACGCCCAATGACTATTCAGGTATTTTATACAAAGTGGAACAGCTTTAACAGGATAGAAAGAAACCCACCTTAGATTACCCTATAGCCCAATGGTTAGGGCACTAATTTGGGAGTGGGGAGACCCAAATTCAATTCCTGCTCCATTATCTATTGAATTATTTATACAAAGTGGAACAGCTTCAACAGAAGATACTAAGAGAGACCCCACAGAATACACTGGGCTAAAAGTTATAAGGGGGAACACCATCACTTCTTCCTCCTTCTCTTTTGTGACTCTGGCCCTTTAAAATGCACAGAAATAAAAACATTTCAGGTTGAACAAAACATTCTGTTCAACCTGAAATGGACTTTTTGCCCACTTTTTTGATTGGCCAAACATTCTGAAAAAGTTCAGATGTGGCTCAAACCAGCAAACTGAAATATCATTCACTCAGCTCTAACAATACCTCATTATTATTACCAGAAAAGAGTAGGTCCAGGGTAGGTGTCTCCACCAACATCTTCTCCAGTGAAGACTGGTGCAAAAAAAATCATTTAAAGTCTTCGCAATGTCCTTATCCTCCTTAATTGCTCCCTTTAATCATTGGTGGGCCAATCGAACCACCAGTTCTCTTGAAAGCTTTTCTATTTCTGATGTATTTAAAGAATGTATTTGTTTTTCACCTTTTGCTATTTGATCTTACATATTGGCTGTCATATTATATGTTCCTTTTTCCTGGATATTCCCTTGGGTTCCATTTTCTGAACATTGTCTGGCTAGTATAACCTCGTGAGGAAATCTGAGAATGTTTATTCTACATATCATGTGCTATTGTAATCTTTGTCATTGCTACTGCTTGTTTGAAAAGTAAATTCAATGCAATCCAAGTTTAAAAGAGAAAAAAATATCTTGAATTTGAAGTCTTACCATCTGTTTTTGCTGTCCATCCTTTCCCATCCATCTTCCAGAAGACAGTCTATCTACATGGTCCTGATCAAGCACACACAGGGATGCTAGGGCTAACCAGAGCTGTTGAAAGAGAGGGTTGTATTATAGAAATATTCCAAGTAGACACAAAAGACTAAAATAAAGGTAATTCTCATGGTTAGGAATAAACACAATTTTCAACTGCCTTCTTTTCAGGTCAATCCACTTAGTATGGATTCTTCTACCACATCACATAAAGAGAGTCAGGCACATGAATAAAAGTTACTGACTTTTGGGTGCAAATCTTGGGACTAACCCATCTCTCCCCAGTTTTCCCACCTTAAAATTATATTAACATATTAGTTAACTATACAACAGAGAGGCAGAGAAGGCAAATCAATCATAGTACGCTGTAGAGAAACATGGTAGATAAAGCACAACCACTGCCAAACTGAACAAGCTTTGTCAATACACTTACGGAATAATACAGAAATAAATAGAGAATGTCAGTATACACTGCTGATAAAGAATACCAATAGAAAAAACAAGCTAAAGTTACAGCAGGAATTCACAGAACAGCTGGGTGGTCTGTGTGAATTGTCCTAATCAAGAGAAACACCATTGGCGTTTTTTATGACTGATTCAAGTTACTTCACACTTTAATATATCTAAGTGGCAGCCTCAAAAGTAAGTGAGGGCTTCAAACAGGCAGAACTCTCTGAGAACTCTGGGTCCTAACACTGTTTTCTTTGTTCACCTGAATCTTACACAAAATTACATGTAATAGGGATTGGAGATGGCAAATGTGGGATGATCTTTCATTTGGAGATAAAATGGCATCTTTCGGGCTGCTGGTGAATCACTTATCAAGATTCCTGGGAAACAGCACTGCCCTAATGAGGTACATTTTTTAATCTACTGAATTTTACTTTTGGAGCCAGGACCTATAACTTTACTTTATCATCTTTCAATTTACGGATTTTATTGCGCACTTGCCAGGAGAAGAAATCTGGTGTTTGGAGCTACTCTAAGTCCTGACTGAAGCATGAAGGAGATGGCATTATCTCGTATCTTTTCCATGATAGGGGACTAGGACTAAGTGATACTCAAAATGCAGAGAATAGATGAGGAAGGAGATGGAAAAGGGAATTAGCTTAACGTTTTAATATAGACCTTGATGGCAAAATACCTGCAGCTGCTGGGGACCTCCCTCTTCACACAACAGTTCTATGAGAGATAAGAATTTCTATCTTCTGGAAGAGTAGAAATGCCAGCTACTACAGCCAAAAATATTTGACTAGGGCTCGGAGACCAATCCTCCACCGAGACCACTAAATCGTCAACTGTTTAGTCAAAAAGCATAAAATACTTTTGCCACATGAATTACAATGATGAAGTTACCTCAGCCTTGAGAGGTGGGGCTGGAAGTTTTAAAAGATGTCACTTAGCAGTACTTACTACTAAATCTAACTTTTTTATTTTTAAGTTAGAGGAGCAATACTGGAAGCCACATCATGGGGCCAGGTTTCAACAAAAGATTTTAATTTTATTTATTTATTTTTAAAATAAAAGAGGACTATGGGAAGAAGAAAAGGCTCGGAAACATAGTATGTCCCTGGGTGAAGTTAAACACAGACAAAGTTTGGTTTAGCTCTTCCAGAGGCTTTTTGCTGCTGAATAGTGCTCTTCACAGCCTAAAAATATGGAGATTCGTGGTCTATGAATATTAGGAACCTGAGACGAGCATAAAATAATAGTTTGGAGTGTTGAAAGCCCAAGAGACAGAGTAAATGAATTTCCTCTATCCATGGATGATTTAGTTGGGGATTGGTCCTGCTCTGAGCAGGGGGTTGGCCTAGATGACCTCCTGAGGTCCTTTCCAACCTTGATATTCTATGATTCTAAGAGTAGCATTTTTTCTGCTGAAAGTCTCTCAAACCAAGCTTCAGAGATTAGTTTAACTGAAGGCAAACATTTCTAGAAAGGAAAAATGAAAGGAAGAAGGTAACTCTTGTTCATTCTGTGGAGGATGCTTAGAGTTGCTCCAAAAAAATTCTTCAATTTGACTGTGTTATATTTCTTTCATACAGAAGAAAATTGAAATATGTGGACTATCTTGAATCAGAATAAACAAGGATTACCTAAGAAGATATATGGAAAATCCTTTGAGGACTAAAATGTTGAATATTTTTACTACCAACAGTTTCACAAAATATTATTTTATGTAAATTATTTTAACATATCTGGTGTTGATAATAAAAGAAAATTATCTTTTTATTCTATATAAATATTTGGCATGCATTTTACATATTAACACTTTCTAAGAAGTGTATTAAATACACCTATGTTCATTTACAGTTTTCAAAACAACAAAAAATAGTAACACTAAATTGAAAACATCAGCATATGAGACCACCACCATCCTTTAGCCCTCCCTCCTCCGAAAAAAGACATACTTTCCTCTTGCAGATAAAAAGCCTGAATTAACAGAGGCCTTGCAATGTGCCTTGAAATAAACAAATGTAGGTGCTCTCAGACCAATGAGTTTTTTAGGGCTCTCTGAATCCAGTTCCAGACATACAGTTCTAGATACTGTCAAATGAGAGGGCCTTGACTAGATATCACAGTATGGCTTTGAAGATTTAGCTTGTAAAAAATTCTTCCTTCCCTCTGTGAAGTCTCTTGGTGCCTTCCTGGTTCAGCAATATCTCAGTGTGCATCATTCTGTGACATCAAATATCATGGATTACCATGAGACTCAGGTATCTATAATGTTGCAATGTTCAGTGAACCAGAATATCTCAGAATTGGAAAAAAAAAAGATTTAAAAAGGGTTTTGCACATCTGTTTAACTTTACTACATATCTAACTTCTTGGGCTTACAAATCTCAGTGGCAAAGGCATTCCTATTAAATAAGTTTTAAATATTAGGCATTTTCAACATCATCTAAAATTTACAAAGTTTTCTTCCAACCAATACACATCGATGCTAATTTTTAGTAGAGTTCAGTGTGACAGGAATTTTCAAATTATTTGCCCTGAACAATGGGAAATATTTCTAATTAGCAAATACACCTTTGTGTGTTTATTTTTCACTGCACGAATGCCAAGTGGAATAGTATTATTCCTCCACACCATAGGAACACACACACAACTTAAAAATTAAATGGTCTGTGATTTCATACAACGATAAGGCTTTTGCTCTGCTATTATCGGGTTTTTGAGGTATTCTATCCATGTTGCAGAGAAAATACAGAATCTTCAACTTTGTTCATGGCAGATAAATAAATGAAGGAGAAACTCATTTAAAACTGTATTTAAAATTTAAGTTTAAATGTTCATTATATTACTGATCTTTTAAAAAAGTTTTGCTGTTTACCTTTATTAAAAACTGTACATACATTAGTGTTACATAAACCATATTGCTTGTACATAATTAGTTATAAATTAGAGCTTCAGAATGGAGGTACACAGTACCCTGAAACTGTTACATACAAAATAATACATATTTACTGGCTCTGCCAACCACCACCCTGCACAGAGTACGCAGGATACACCTCACATACAGAGCAGGACTTAGCAATTGTAATTTCTGTTCCCTGTATACAAAGTTTACTACTGTGAGGACATATGGAACCAAACATTATGCTAACCAGTGGGAGTGCCATTAGTAGGATGTTGCTGTTATCAAATGTGTGCAACAAACTGATGTAAATCTGACAAAGTCCTTACCCTGGTTGTTGCAATGCATCGCACTGGTGATCTGTATTCATCTTCCATTTTGGTCAGAGCAATGATGGTTTCAGCAATAGCATTTTTTGTCACACGGGACCAAGCTTCAGACAGGTGACCCTGATAAAGAGGGAATTGTAGATAATTTTTCTAAAACTCATTAACATATTACCACTTTCCTCATTAAAATATCAAGTAGAAATGAAGCTGCAATTAAAGGAACTCAACGGGAAGCTAGAAATAAGGGAATTTAAAGTACAGTGGTCACAGTTAAAAAGTCAGCATTCTCCAGCAAATGCTATTCAGTTACCAGTTATTTCTTTTTCTAAGCATACAGAAAAATGGTTAGTCTCAGATATCGATGTGGTAATTATTGGCAACTTTGGCCTTGTCTACACTTGTGACGGCAGGTAGGGTACATGTAGCTCCATGCTGCAGTGAAAGGCATCCAAACTCACATGGCAGTGAAAGGTTCCAGCTGGGGGCGGCAGAGGGAAAAGGCTTCAGCAATGGCAAGGCTGCTGGAGCCTTTCCCTGCTGCCGAAGTGTTTCATGATGGTGGGGAAAGGCCCCGGCAGTCGGAGACTACGTGGCCAAGAACAGCAGTGTAGACATGGGAAGTACTGCTTGGGCTTGTAGAAAGCTGTGTATGGTATGTACCCTAGGGTTCAGGATGTAAGGTACTCTACCCACCTAAAGAGTGGCTCACTGTCTACACCAATATTTATACCTGAGCTAGCTGGGCGTGCAGTGTCTGTATTCTACACATTGCCACAAGTGTAGACCTACTCTTTGTGTAGTGCCTCAGCAGATTAAGTTCCCAAGGATATCAGTGACATGAACTAAGAATCATCTAAAAAGCATGACAACTGGGGGAAGGGTGGATAACCCTCACTGATCTAAGAACTTGCTTTGGGAGCATAGAAGGAACTGCGGTAACATTCCATCTTAGCAATAAGAGAAAGGGAAAATATAACAGGAATACTTACTAGAGGGAAGGGAGGAAAATGTAGAATGCAGCAGCCAGTGTCAAATAATCACCTTAGGGCTGACTGCTGCATTACTTGTCACTCATCCCTAACATTAACAAGGGCTACTAGGATGATCCGAGGAATGGAAAACCTGTCTTATGAAAGGAGACTCAAAGAGCTTGGCTTGTTTAGCCTAACCAAAAGAAGGCTGAGGGGAGATATGACTGCTCTCTATAAACACATCAGAGGGATAAATACCAGGGAGGGAGAGGAATTATTTAAGCTTAGTACCAATGTGGACACAAGAACAAATGGATATAAACTGGACATTAGGAACATTAGACGAAGGTTTCTAACCATTAGAGGAGTGAAGTTCTGGAACAGCCTTCCAAGGGGAGTAGTGGGGGCAAAAGAAATATCTGGCTTCAAGACTAAGCTTAATAAGTTTATGGAGGGGATGGTATTATGGGATAGCCTAATTTTGGCAATTAATTGATCTTCGATTATTAGTAGGTAAATATGCCCAATGGTCTGTGATGGGATGTTAGATGAGGTGGGATCTGAGTTACTACAGAGAATTCTTTCCTGGGTGCTGGCTGGTGAGTTTTGCCCACATGCTCAGGGTTTAACTGATTGCCATATTTGGGGTCGGGAAGGAATTTTCCTCCAGGACAGATTGGCAGAGGCCCTGGAGGTTTTTCGCCTTCCTCTGCAGCGTGGCACATGGGTCACTTGCTGGAGGATTCTCTGCACCTTGAGGTCTTTAAACCATGATTTGAGGACTTCAATAACTCAGGCATAGGAGTGGATGGGTGAGATTCTGTGGCCTGCATTGTGCAGGAGGTCAGACTAGATGATCATAATGGTCCCTTCTGACCTTAAAGTCTATGAGTCTATTTTCACTGACAGATTCCTCCTCTCGATCAAGAAAAGTGCTGCCACCTCCCAGAAAGAAACATATAATGCCACAAAACATTCCTGTAACTCACACTGTACTGCACTCTTTTAACTCTCATCTCATACTTTCATTAGAAATGGAACAACATGAATTTAAAGAGTAAACCATGTGAATAGCACAAACACACATGCATTTTGCAGAGATTGGAGTTCAATGTTTGCATTACAGTGCAAGTTCAGTTTTAGGAACAACCAAGCCTGACCCTTGAGGGCTGGGCAAAGGGCAATTTGTTTCAAGAGTCCAGGAAAGAGCAGGCCCCTCACACACAGCTCCCTCTCTGTCCAGCACAGCTGAAGGTCACAGACAGAGGAAGTGTATATATGAAACTAATACATAAAACCACAGTTATAAATACTCTTCAAAACTGTCTGTGTCCCATGTACAGGTGAAAGTAAAACAGTGGTGTTCTGTTATTAACATTTTAAAAATTGAAAATAATACTGATGTATAAAATTATTTCATCAATGTTGTCATATGTAATGTAGACATTTACAAAACCAGTGGCTTAAAACTGATGTACTTACTTTTCATTAACAGGGAAATCATGAATTTTTGTAAAAATATAGTAACTAACACACATTCTTCCCATCCTTAGGTACCCATTAACTAATAAAACAAATCCCATGCATTTCTATATTATAATGTATGTGCTGGAGGGGTCTGAAAAAAGGTGAAAATCTGTCTTGAAAGAAAGAAATAGATTTTTGAGCTATCCTTAGGAAATAAAAAAGTAATTCCACTAACCTCCTAAACTCCATTCTCAATACACCAGAAATGTGAATACACCAAACTTCCCCACCTGTAATTTACATTTCTTATCTCTCTCTAAACACCACAGACTGACCAGGTAATTTTAACTAAAGGGATTAGCAACAGCGTGATTTCTGGGTAAGATCTGAGTTGTGTGGCTGGTCCTTTGGGATCAGAAGAATCTTTATTTGATTAAATTGGTTTTAAAAAACCACTAATCTCTAAGGGCTTGTCTACACTTACCGGAGGGTCCGGCGGCAGGCAATCGGTTTTCTGGGATCGACTTATCGCGTCTAGTGAAGACGCGATAAAATCGATCCCTGATCGCTCTGCCGTCGACTCCGGAAATCCACCGCGGCAAGAGGCGGCAGCGGAGTCGGCGGCAGCGGTCGACTTTCCCCCGTCCTCACCGCCAGGTAAGCCGACCTAAAATACGCAACTTCAGCTACGGTATTCACGTAGCTGAAGTTGCGTATCTTAGGTCGGACCCCCGCTGTAGTGTAGACCTAGCCTAAGTCTAGTGTTTTTGGTGATGATACAAGGACTGGAATGCCTAAGGAAACTGCTGTTCTGACATCTTGTTAGCAAGTGTGGTGAAACAGACGTTTACTTTTGTTGCTGGTTTGGTATATCTCATGGGAGAATTACCTCCTGTTTTGGGGTGTATCTGCCCTATTTCTCAGCAGTTTGTCCTGAATTTGGTATTCTCAGTTGTGACCCATGGAGGCACGGTTACACTACTATATCCAAAAGACTCCCAACAATAATTTCATTTATAGACAAGATGATACCTGAATATCAACACAAAGTTGACCAAGCTCTCACAAGAGCCAAAGACACTTTTGGTATTCCATTATAAGTCACTGAAAACAGTTATTGGCAGGCAGCATTTAAACTATTAGGACCACCGTACCAGTCACCCAGCAGACGTTCTTTGAGCAAGACTCTTCTATGGTCAGAAGTATAGATGTAATACATAGTTTGCCAAAGTAATAAGGAACTGGAAATAGGGTCTTACAGTGGAGAGTGTTTGGCAACCGTAGCAATAGGTGGCTCTACTACCTTTGCCTAAAATAATTACATACAAATATATAAAAATAACATTATATTTGCAAAGTCAAACATTCAAAAATTAAAAATTCAATAATTAAACTTGCCAGTGACAGTTCAGAAGTGCTGTGCAACTAACAACTTCCTTTGAGTTCAAATGGAGTTTTGAATGCTCAGCCCTCCTGAAAAATCAGATTCTAGGTGTCTCACATTGGCCATCTAACAAATGAGGAACAAAGTGAGCCGCTACTTCCGAAATGACTTATTCAACAATATACAGAAAATGTGGGCAAAGCCAGAGATAGAACCCAATTCTTACTGGCCCCAGTACAATGCCTTAACCTAAAGACCGTCCTTTCTCTTCCTGAGATCTCTACCTCATTCACAGTGCACTGAATGAAGCAGGGTTCCTCAGGAAAAACACAGTACATGAACTGTTCAGTGATCAGAAGTGTTTCAACATCAAAGTAACTCTCAGAGCATGTAAACTTACTGCTGCCATGTCCTTAATCAGCTTAATAATGATTTCTGAAATTTGTGTAGGAGTTGAGCCCTTCATCCACCAATGGCTTTCACCTCGGCGAATATAGCTGCAAAAGATAATAAATAAGATAAATTAAATTAATAAAGGTAATGCCTTAGTATATTTCACAAGTAATTAAAGGAACATTACACTTATTCAGTATCCTGCTTTTTACATCAACATAGTAACACTATGTCAAATTAAATAGTTCTAATAGTAGGGCACAAATATTTATTTTCAGATTATAAAAGGGAGAGATAAAGAGTGTATTTTACTTTAAAATCTCTGGCTTTTGTTTGTCTTTAGCTTGACAAAATATAGCTTTTACTAACCTGGAATTGAAAATCATTGGAAGTGTAACTGTAGTAACTCCTTTGCCTGCAGCAGTGCCAGCAGTTCCAGTTATAGTGGTTCCTTTGGCTTTTAGCTGTACAGTGAGTGCTTTGGCAATGCACCCCAGGAACATGTCCAAGATACCCAGTTTATTCCAATCTCCTTTTTCCGTTGAGTGAATAATATCACTTATGTCTGCTGGTGGCAGAGACTTTACCCCTATGATACTAGCCAAGCGACTAGGGGTCACCTCTGGCAAAACACGTCTTAATAATGATGTGACCTAAGCAGAAGAACCAAAGCAACACAAATTTAAAGGAGATAGCTGAATTTTCAAAGCTATATTCAAAAGCACTTTTCACTTATTTATAAGCTATTTTGGTATGTCATTTTCATAAGAAGAGTTAATCTACTTTTTAACTTCTAAATCATCTTTCTCAGGAATTTTGTAATGTTTGTATCATACTTTGTAAATTGTAATGTGCTATATAAATTTCAAGCATAATTATTATTAATGCAGTTACTTATAGGAAAATTACAATAAAAAGAAGTATCCAAGCACCTTATGCAAATACAACTAAAAGCTGCTATACTGAAAATCTGATTACTTACACTGGAATACAGAATGCAACATAGCATATAAATTCATAATTAAGGCTTGAGACTTTCAAAAGGACTATGTGGTATACTAAGAATACTTACTAACAAGAAGGTAGGGAAATGTAAGAAGCAATAGCTAGGCACTAAATGGTCATCTTAGGGCTGACTGATGCTTGTCTGTGCAAAATGTGAAAAGCTAGCTATCAGAAATGTTTGCTGAGAAATACTCTTATTAGAGTTGGTCTAAATTTTCTCCATTTAAGTATTGAGCAGACACAAAACTGCTATTACAGGAACTCAAAGGAAAGAAACCTAATCAGCAATTTTTGGTTCCAATTAAAGTCAACATTTTCCAGTAGAGGTCATTCAGTCGCCACAATTAGCTATTATACTAAACGAGATTCTCCTCCCCAATATCTTACCTTTCATTAATTTTGTAAGTCTCTTGCCTTTCGAAAACATTCAAACCTAGACAAACTTTTACTATAAATAGTACAATAAATTTCCCTATTCTAATACAATACAGGTTTGCCTGGTTAAAATAAAAACCACAATGAAATAAAAAAAAACAAAACAAAACACCAGGTTAAAACTGTAATGTTAACTTGGTCACACTGCATACAGGAAATATTTCTCTGTTTCTATTTTAATATACTTCTGTTTATGTTGTTAAATGTAAAGATAAAGTACAAAGGATTTGCAATGTGACCAGGTTAAAATTGCTTCTGGAAACTTAACTCCTCCAATTCCTGATTTTTAAATTTTAAGCTATAAACTGTACAGCCTTAACATTGCACTGACCTAGTTTTCTGTTTTTAATTTATTTTTAAACAGAAAAATTAAAATATTGTGTTAATATTAGATGCTAAATTGTGCTTAATATTAGATGCCAATTAATTTTTAAATCTCAGAAGTCAATGGAAGTACTATTTCTGGCTGAAGATAGTTTCTGCAAGGGTGGGTTAAGTGAGCAACACACATTTGTTTACACATGAGGGTATCATCTTCGCAGAAACAGATGATTTTATTTTAAATAAAAGCTTGTAATATGCAGTATGATGTATTACAGAGTGTAGCAAAAACAGAGAAAAGACTCCAAAAATACCAGTAGCCACGTTTTCTCCTATTGCTTATAACCAGGTAACTTTTTTTCCCTTGTATTTCAGTGACACAATAAAATAAAATTAACATTAAATCACAAATTGTTCCAGCAGAAGCCACATTACTTGTGGATTTTGGCAGAAAGAAAGGGTAGTGATGATGTAAAGGGAGCAGCAATTCAGTAGGCTTTCCTAAAATTGTACAAATACTCAGAAGCAACCAGCCAATCTCTTATTCCCCTCCAAACCTAGCAAAGACTATGAAGGGGTGTAACAACCCTACACTGGAAAGGTGAGGGTTAACAAATTGCTCTGGACTCAAGAGGCCATGCCCACTCACCTTGCTGGGCACGCTCCCAGTGGAGGGAGCATTCAAAAGGGAGCAGCGCAACTCAGTTTGGGCTGACTAAGGAGGAGAGCGGTTGCAGCAACCTCCTGCCGGGAAGCAGCCAGGGCTCCAAGCTTGAACCCTGTGTCAGGGTACACTGTTTCAAAGGGCCCTGGGTCGGAACCTGGTAGAGTAGGGTGGGCCCAGGTTCCCCTACCCCACCCCATGCTCGCTAGTGGGCCCTGTGATATTGCCACCAGGCAGAACGGCCTTTGGACTCTTTCCAGTGGGTGACATTACTGTGTAATATATTGCCACTAGTACAAGTGGCCCTGGGACTCTCTCCAGTATGCGATTCTACCCTGAAATAATGCCACTAGGGAAAGCAACCTTTGGACTCAGGTATATCCTGGAGTGTCTCCATTAGGCAGCGCTGTTGGCCTGGAGCACTCAACCAGTCCCCAACTATGATACTGTTCTTCATTAAGAGCTGCTTGCATAGAGGATTTCAGTTTTCAAACTACAATAATTTTTGCTGTAGCTATGTCTAAAGTAGTATGGCTAGATTTTAAAATAGGAAAAGTAATGGCTCTCAGATTTTAAAGAAAAATTTTTGCTTCCTGTATTTGAATAATTTTGTAATAGTGCCATGTGATAGCATTCTTTGTAAGTAACAACAAGCAACTGAAACAGCTATTTTTTAAATGGATTTCACTTGTTTTATGTTCACTAACAGGACCAGATAAAGGTATAGGCACTAAGAAACTACCACCTTGTAATAATTTCAGAATCAGAGCTTTCATGTTTTCTTTTTAATTAACCTTCTAGCACTCATGATTTTGGAGAAAAGCTTGAAAAAGTGACAAGTCCAACTTACGTCTGCCTGAATCTGCAAACAATCTGAAAGAATTGGCTCAGAGTGGTATGAATTCCTCTATGAATATCATGGGGTGTTAATTCCAACACTCACTGCTTCTTGCCAACACCATCCAAACAGAGTTGTGTGTGGCAGGAAAAGTGCCACTATCTCAGCCAGCCCTCCACCCACCTGAGCAGGTACACTCAGACACCTGGGGGGTTCCCCTGATGCACCTATGCCAATCTAGGAGAAAGAGGTGAAGTCTGCTGCCACTCATGTTATCCATGAGGGGAAGAGGGACCCCACTATCACTTCTGTAGCAGAAAAAAGGAGCCCCATTCTGCTGCCCCAGCCTCTCTAGAAGAGGGCAGCGTGCTGTCTGTCACTAGCACGCCAAGTTGGGGGAGGAGGTTGATGCCACAGGATCACTTCATGAGGGCAGAGCAAAGGGGGTGCGGCTGAGGGCGCTCCCTCTAATGGCGGGTGTAGGGCCCCAGATTGTCTTAATCCAATCTTGCTCACAGTTTAAAGGTTGTGTTGAACTGATGATTGTTAGAACTGCCTATTAGTTTGGGGACTTTCTTTACATAACACTGCACTTTTCTTCATGTTATTTGCACATATTTCCTGTGTGTTAGATATATCTATGTAATATATCTGAAAAAAAAAATGACAAATGGAGAAAATAATTCTCTTCATATTAAAAGGGCTATTGCGCTGTATTAATCTGTACTGCACACATTTTTGTATTTAAAACAAGTGATTCTCCCCCTCCTCTATGGGCCTGTCACATAACAATGCAAAAAGACTATTAGATCCCTGTGCTAATCCGGGGAGAATTTCCATTGGTGTAGATTTTGTATAAGGCAGTTCACATTGCCAAAAAAGGCTCGCATCGCAAACCTTTTGGGATGAGATGGGTGGGGATGCAGAGTGAGAACCTGAGCTATTAAGGCTAACTGTCTTCCATATATAGTCACACTACAAAAATCTGCTTTTATTTTATTTGAGAATATTTCATATCTCATATTTGAGGACATTTTGAATTTGACAGTGAAAATTATACACACATTTTGTTTAATGAAAATCAGAAATGAGGCAAACTACTAAATTGAATCAAAAATCAGTTCACATACATTCTGTACTGTGAAGCACATTATGATCTAATTTTTAGCACTGGATTATTTTGCTGGAAGCACTGCAAGAGATAAGGAGTAGTTAGCACACTCACCTGTCTCTGTACCCTGGGAGAGGCAGTATGCAGTAGTGAGAAGAGATCCTGGAGTAGAGTCAGCTGCTGAGCCAGGTACTGACGACCTACATTGGAACCACTCAGTGCCAGAACCATGGACAGCAGCTCAAAGCAATAAGCATCAGAAGAGGCATCTTCATCATTAGGCTGCGAGTTGGCATTCTCCTTGCTAGAGATTGCATGCTCCCATTCCTCACGTACGCGGGTTGCTTCCATTCGGATGGCCTGGACTATATGAGCACATACCTAACCAAACAAATGCCACACACACAGTAGCTTAGTAAGAACTAAAAAAAAAAAAATTGCAAAAACACCTTCAAGACTGCAATATAAACCAAAAAAGCCCATAACATTTTGATTTTTTCTATTACTCCCCCTTATAAATGCAATTAAGGATAAAGATGTACCTATAATACTGAATTTGCTGGACTCAGTTTGTGACAATATCACATAACTGTGTTTTTATTTAAAATCCAGGAAAACACACTAGAAGTCAAAAGATACATATACCATCCCAAAAGAGAGTACCTCCTTAAAACCACTTTATAATCTCTTTTCTAACCACATATTTAAGAAATCTTAGAGACAATAAAAAACCCTTATTGTTATGTATATATACACATTATTAAATGCATATAATTTAGCCAATAACGTGTTAAAAAAAGTAAACACATTTAAAAGATTTTAAAGCTTGTAAGGCTTGGCTTTTCAAAGGTGGAAAAGGCAAACAGGCACCTAAATCTTGCTGAAATTAAATGGGAGATGGGCACTTAGTTCCTCTCAGGCTCCTTTGAAAATCTCTGCTATAATGTTTATCCCACAGAAAATGGCTAATCTTACTATGTGAAAGGAGAATTTAGTTAAATAAAAAATCTTAAGAAATTTCTTAAAGTTACCTCAGATGCACAATAGCCACTTTTCTATGTTTGAGTAAAAAAATAAATTAAAAACAGATGAAGCTAAACAAAACTACAGATCCAAACATCCGAAGACATTGTGGGTGGGGTAGTTTCAGAATCCAAATCCTGATCTCCTTGCTGGTCCCTGTCCATAATCTAAGAAATCTAAACTTATTTTTTGGTGCGAGAAGGGGAAAAAGCGTTTTAAATAAGTACCTAAAATTGGCAGCTGAGACTCATCTGAAATATTGAACGAGGTATGCCAACATTACCTATTAGTAGTAAACATTAGGACAACTTGTATTCCACTTAACTATAATTTTAAAAGAAGGTTCATAGGATAAGATTTTATTTTTAGTTACAGTTCACTGCTAAATTTTAAAGCCAAATTATAAATCTTTAAATATGTAATTTATAATGGAAACAGAGCCTTAAGTATGGAAAATACTATTAAGGATGAAAAATACTCAAGTAAAAAAATGTTAAACAACAAAAGATTTATAATTATGCTCTTTTCCGGTAGTTACAATTTAAGGTAAACATTTAACACCTCAAGAACTGTATTACACAAACCTGTTTTTGTAAATTTGTCAGTTTGCTCCTGCTGAATATGATTCCAACCATGTGCTCTTTCAGATCTGCATCTGAAGTTGCCTTTATAAAAAGCAGAAATAACTGTTAGGATATAGATATTCAAGCTTGTATGTAAAGGCCTATACTTTAAGAATTTAGGTATATGTTTATCATTTAGCTAGTTATAGAGGTATAAAAGAAAGAATCTGTGTAAGGGCCTTCTCTCACTGTGACAGTCTGAGGCCCTGTTCTTAGGCCAAAGCCTTTGGTTAAGAGGCAGCCATAAGCTGAGAAGCGTGCAGTCACATCCTCACATTCCAAACTAGCCATATTGAAATAAGGCAATCTGGGGCTGTTAGGAAGGTGATAAAGGAAATTTAGTTTGATAGTTTTCTGCCTGGTAAGAACTCACTTATCAATAGACACAGTTGGGAAACCCTTATGTCTGTATAGATGTAGTTGTGAAATCCTCACTTCTGTATTGTTTTGTATGTTTATTTGCATGGTCTCTGTCTGGTTCTGTGATTGTTTCTGTCTGCTGTATAATTAATTTTGCTGGGTGTAAACTAATTAAGGTGGTGGGATATAATTGGTTAGCTAATCATATTACAATATGTTAGGATTGGTTAGGTAAATTTTAGTAGAATGATTGGTTAAGGTATAGCTAAGAATATTACTATATAAATTAGGGGCAAACAGGAAGTAAGTTGGGATTCGAAAATAAGGAAAAAGGAACTTGGATTAAAGCTTGCTGGAAGTTCACCCCTATAAACATCGAATTGTTTGCACCTTTGGACTTCGGGTATTGTTGCTCCCTGTTCATGCGAGAAGGACCAGGGAAGTGGGAGAGTGAAGGAATAAGCTCTCTAACAATAACATTAGATTAAGACTTTCTAAAGTATTTCTGAACTGTCGCACCAATGAATGTGGAATGCCAATCTATTGTATGCTAAAAGTGAGCAGATTTTTGTAACATACAGATGTGTAGCAAAATGTTATGTAGCCAAGATAAAGCAGTTAGGAAAACTGACACAGGTCGGCTGTGCTTATTTCCTTCCTGTTATGTATGTAAAATATAAAAGGTCAGAGTACAGATACATCTCCAGCAAGCTCAGACAAATGAAATTCAGTGTTCTAAGACCCACCCTTATGAATTCAAGTTAATACTGATCACCAATGATCAAGTCTTTAGAAACTAATGTAACATGGACCAATTTTACAGTCTTTAATGTATTTTAAATTAAATGTCTCCAGAAGGAGAAACTCAACAATAAAAATAAAAAAAAAATCCATGATTTATAACACGGATCGGCAACCTCTGGCATGCGGCCCGCAAGGGTAAACACCCTGGCAGTCCGGGCCGGTTTGTTTACCTACTGCGTCCGCAGGTTCAGCTGATAGCGGCTCCCACTGGCCGCGGTTCGCCATCCCAGGCCAATGGGGGCTGCGGGAAGTAGCGTGGGCCGAGGGATGTGCTGGCTGTCGCTTCCCACAGCCCCCATTGGCCTGGAGCGGCAAACCGTGGCCAGTGGGAGCCGCAATCGGCCGAACCTGTGGACGCAGCAGTTAAACAAACCGGCCCGGCCCACCAGGGTGCTTACCCAGGCGTGCCGCGTGCCAAAGGTTGCCGATCTCTGATTTATAATATGTAACTTGTTATGACAAAGGGAACAAAAATCAGGCAATGTACTTTTCAGGATCTACCATAAATCATCTGCAGTTAATTTAGCACTTGTAAAATGTGATGAACTGACAACACTGGAAACAGAAGTCCTGCCTTGTCACTGGGCCTTAACTGCATTGCCACTGGGTCTTAACCCCATTCTGGTTGAACTACTTTAAGCAGTCATAAAAAGTAACTTGCTCACTGGACTAAGAAAATCTTTTCAAGTGGGCCTGGGCCACTTAAGAAGCATCCAATGAAAACTATACTTGTAAGTTACTAGGAACTGGGACAGCTTTGAACCAGCAATATGGTAATGAAAGATTCCAAATGCTATTATTACCAGTCACATGAGCCCATCATTTTCTATTAGTTTTAAATTCTAATATGATTTAAGTTTGCCATGATCAATAATACATAATTCCACAATTTTCATGATTTTTAAAATCATTTCCATTTTAAACAGATTTTATTGTGACAATGGAAGGATGGATGAGTGAGCAGGGGTCTTGTGGAATAAATAACAAGTGATCATGCAATTAAAGACTATGTAATAATGCATATGCACAAGGGGACAAAATTATGGTTGTACAGGTGACCTTAACTCTGGCATTTTTCTCTTTGGAATTTCCTAGACTTTTTCAAAAAGAAATAAAGACAGAACCAAATTCTCTCATATGCAACTGTAATATACCTCCTGTCATTTATCTTCAGCAGTGTTTGAACCCTGGACCTTCTACACTTCATCACAAAACTCTACCACTTCAGCAAAAGGACTAACTATAACATCTGGCAGCATGAATAAGCTGTTACCATCTGCACACCAACCATTAGGAAGAGGATGCATAGTACCCTGCAACAGATGGTTACACGTGCATGGAGTAGTCTTTTTTAAAAAGCAACAGAGAGTCCTGTGGCACCTTTAAGACTAACAGATGTATAAGCATAAGCTTTCGTGCATGCATCCAACAAAGTGGGCATTCACCCACGAAAGCTTATGCTCCAATACATCTGTTAGTCTTAAAGGTGCCACAGGACACTCTGTTGCTTTTTACAGATCCAGACTAACACAGCTACCCCTCTGAGTCTTTTTTAAGAAAGCACAGAATTTGGCAGAATCTTAACAGATTTTTCTTAATCTTTCTGAGAGACTGTGTGGCACAGTGGATGAGACTTGGTGTGATGGAGTGTCTACCCCACCCAAGGCCTAAGTAGGAAAAAAGAGCCAATTAACCCTTTGATAGGCTGCACCTAAAGTAGAGCCAGGGCTGATAAGGCCTTATTACTGATGAAGCCCAGCTGCGTGAGGAGCTGGGACAGGCACAGAAAGAGGAAGTTGGTGATAAGAGGGGGCTGTAGGAAAGACCTTGCAGGCACTCCCTAGAGAGGAGAGGGGATGGCAACAAGGGGGGGGGGAGTTCTGCAGGAAGTAAGCTCTGAGATCCTTGGAATACAGACTCTTGCAAGAACCTGAGAGGGGTGAAACAGCCATAGGGAACAGAGGAAGCTCCACTGATAACCCAGAGTGGGGGCAGAGCTACAGAAGCAAGGTAGGACGGAGCCTAGGGAAACAGCAACAGTGTCTGGGATTGTGAAGACCATGTGTGCTAAACATAGGGTCCAGATTCCCCTACCAGCCCTGGGGAAAGTGGCACAGTGAGGACAGTAGACAAGATGACTGCCTGAGACAGTTTGTCCATTAGGACTTTGATACCCCAGAAAGGAAGAGCTATAATGACCCAGACAGAGGGTCAAACCATGAAGGGGGATCACCATGAGTCATGAAGAGGAAGAGAGAGAGATCACACGGTGAGCAAGTGAAGGAGGGGGCATTAGACTGATTGAGAACTAATCCCCAAATGACCCACAAGGAGGTGCCGCAGCAGTGAGCAGGGAATCCAGTGACTCTTGGGTATGCCATATTGGAGAGCAGGGGAGAAATTCTTACCCTGTAGCCAATGAAATTTTTGTGTTGAATTCAGTAAGGTGAGAATTTCATTCCTCTGTTCTATTCCCAGCGTGTATAGGCTCTCAATGGAGCATGAGACCTCGTTCAATAATTAGGGCACAAAATTATTAACACCAGTTCATAGAAGGGAATGGATCTAAAACTCTTACTTCTCCAAATTCCCAGCCCAGTACACCTGCTCATAAACGTAAGGCTATTTTGTTTGGGGAGAAGGGGGAGGCAGCAGTCATGTGGTGGGTCCTATCAGGAGATTCAGCTTTGTATAGCATTCTCAAGTGAGACACTGGGAAAGGTAGTATGGATTGACTGTTGAGCAATTTTATAAGCAAGACTCAAGACAGCTCTATTGTACACAGTGCAGACAGCAAATTGTGATTTTTGACAGCTGATCTTAGCCAAATTATTTTCATGGGGCAACAAATACTTCCTCAACTCCAGAATGATCCCCATTCCAAATTCCTGTTGCAAACCAATGTGATTTAGTGTTTAAATAAAACCAGAAAAAAATGTATAACAGCAACCCTTTTAGGGGGAGCTCCAGCAACTCCTACAATAAATAAGTAAATAGCTTTGAGTAGTTACAGTAAAAATTCAGAGAGATTTGATTCTTCTGCTTACTGTGATATGTGTCTGACTTCCATAATTGTTAGTATGATTTGTACCAGTGATACTCAGACCTCAGTGGTTCAGGAGCCAAATTAGCAATCAACATTACCCAAAAGAACCACAGTAGCGTGAATTCATTTCAGTTACACACTCTCTCTATATATAGTATATTATATTAGTCTCACAGCAAAATGACTGACAGAGTATTCTACAACTGGTTAATAACATAGTAAAAGCATCCTGATTGATTAATAATTAAATCACACCGTTTTTATCCGTAATATCATATGCTGCAAAGAGCCATAGGAGACACATTAAAGAGCCACTTGCGGCTCCTGAGCCTGAGTATCACCTATCTGTACCATTATTACTATGACTCTTTAATGAAACCTATAGCCCCAATTATAATCTATTCATCAAAAATATTAATTACACAAAAATCCATCTAATTATGGGTTTTTTTAAAATAGGCAATGGCAGCAGTATAATATTGCTGGGATGTGAAGAATACCTGGAGTAAGAGGATCAAAATAGACTGAAAAACATCTGGGACAACTTATTTCAGTAAAATAATAATTGTAGAACATAAATAATACATTGTGTACTTTTTCTTCTCCTTCCGGGGAAGACAGCAGTGTTTTTTCTTCTTGTTCTGGGGTTGGCTCAGCATCTCCGGAGATGAGTTTTCCAAATACCTATGAGAAGTTACAACAAAGGTTAAACAAAAGTTCAAAACTAGGCTCATATGGACATAAAACTTCTCGAGCTGACAAAATAAGGAGGGTTATACCGTCATTCTTTGTAGTTTAAAACAGATTAACATTGCTTAGTTTTGTGTGCCATGTATCAGATTTTCTGATTGCTGGCAACAATATAGTAAAGAGAGGAGTCTGCACTGACAGTCAGCATCAGAGAAATTTCAGCCGCTAACATTTGATTAAAATATGTCACTGTTTTAAAAAGCCTGTCATTCTACATTTAAAATGTCTAGCTTGCTCTCCAATTTCTGTGATATCTATCACCAACACACACGATAGTGATTCAAAATGTCTGAATTTATATTATTTATATTCCATTAGCACCGAAAAGCCCTGATCAGGATCTTTATGCTATGTACTGTACAAACACAAATAAAGACAATCTCTCCCCTGAAAAGTTTACAGTCTAAAATGACAAGACAAACAAGAAAGAGATACAGCATACTTTTTAAATGGAGGGTACTAATGACGTAGCAGGTGTGGACAAAAGGAAGGAATGGGGAAAAAACACAGGATATAAAGTAGTATGTTGTTGATAGTGTAAAGAAATGAGGTTCTGCAGGACAGTGGACTGGTTAAATCAAAGAAAGGCAAAAGAAACAAATCAACTGTAAATCAGTACAATGGAAAAGCTCCAGAAGGAAATTTACTTCATCAACATGTTTAATCACTGTATGAAGTAGTAATTCTTCAAGTTCTTTTCTATCATAGCTAACTACCACTCTATCACCACCCACACACACAGAAAAAAAAACAATAGCCTTTAAAAGGAGTAAGTAATTAAATCTCAGCAGCTTTCATGTTCTCCAGTGTTTCACCATATGAGATAGTTGCAATGTCCTACCTGGGATGTAATAAGGCGGAATACTCGCAGTGTCTCAGCTTCACAGTTTCTTTGCTGAGCTACACTTGCTGAGATCTGGCCTGCAATTTTAATGCTTTCACCATCTTTCCATCCCAATACTTTCACTTGGCGAACTCTTAGCGTGTTCTCTGGGCCCTTCAATTCAATTTTGATGATGTGATTATCTCCACCAGGAAGTTCACTTGTTACCCAGCCAATGTGTCTTGAATCCAAATCAACCTGATGAACAGGAATATAAAGATGTGAATTTGAAACACAGTATCAGGCTAACTGAGTCACCTACTCCTGGTGAGTTATTGGTACAAATTATCCAGCACACACTGTAGAAACCAATTATAGCTTACGTGACACACAAATGTCTGTTCTGAATAACAAGATTACAAATCTTTTTTATTATAAAACTATCAATCTTCACAGGTTAAGATTTCAAAGTCTCAAATTATAAATAAAAAAAGACATGTAACTATTCATTTTCTTCTCACTTTTAAAGCCCAGTTTAAAAAAAATCAGTAAAAAGTCATTTTTGTTGGTTATCCAATTGCACCACAGAGTCTATTTCATGCTCTCAGCAGCAATTTATAAATGTGTAAATCACTTTGATGTAAATAAAGTTCTTTCACCTCCTGTAAGAAAAGTAGTCGTCTAAAATATAAAACATGGTTAAAAGCACTTAATTTTTCAAATTCTGTGTCAGACAAAAAAAAATATAGAAACACAGGTTGAAATCCTGACCCTATTGAAGTCAGTGGCTAATCTCCCATTTACTTTAATGGAGCCAAGGTTTCATCTCAAGTGTTTTGTTTTGTTTTTTAAAATCATAGAAAACAGTATTTAGATTCAATTTAAAACAAGATTCAATGTTTTCTGGAGAAAAAAGTTAATGAAAAACAATCATTATACTGTTCGGATAAGTCATCCCACAAAAAGAAACTAACCTGACGGTAATTATAGTTCTTTGAGATGCATAGAGTGAATAACTGTTTCTTCTTCTGAGTGCTTATCCATATACGTATTCACTATGTCCATCAAGCAGTGATCTACATTGTAGGAGGTAAGTGCTAGGAGTCTATCTACATAGTGATTGTTGCACGTCCCTGTAAAAATTAGCATCTGATTTGGATGTCTCCACAATAGAGTAGTGCTGGGAAAGTGTATGTACAGTATTGAGGACCAGGTAACTGCCCAACACATGTTCTAAATGGGGGCATATCTCAAGAAAGCAACTTTTTTTGCCTGTGCTCCAGTCGAGTGCGCTGTTGCCTGGGCTCTAGTCGAGTGAGCTGTGACCACTATAGGTGAGGTAACTGTCCCACTTTACTCAGCACTGATGAGACCTCAGCTGGAATACAGTGTCCAATTCTGGGTGCCACACTTTAGGAAAGATGTGGACAAACGAGAGAGTCCAGAGAGCAACAAAAATAATAAAAGGGTTAGAAAATCTAACCTGTGATGAAATGCTAAAAAACTGGGCATGTTTAGTTTTGAGAAAAAGACAGAGGGGACCCCAAAGAAAGGACAAGAAGTAATGGGCTTAATCTGCAGCAACGGAGATTTAGGTTAGATATAAGGAAAACCTAACTACAAGGGTAGTTAAGCTCTGGAATAGACTTCCAGGGAGGCTGTGGAATCCCCATCAATATAGGTTTTTAAGTACAAGTTGTACAAATACCTGTCAGGGATGGTCTAGGTTTACTGGGTCTTCCCTCAAATACAGGGAAGCTGGACTTGATTACTTCTCAAGGTTCCTTTCAGCCCTACATTTCTGTGGTTCTATGATTCATTATGGCCAATAATGGTCATACTAAAAACACATTTAGCAAGAAAGGGTTTTAGATGTTGTTTACAAATGGGAAGGATGAACTAACAGTGATGCCAATAAAGAGTGAGTACCACATCCTAGCACACAGCACATCAAGGACACTATTGCCCATTAGCTAAAAAAACAAAAAGTAGGAGCCTTAAAAAGATAGGTGTCTGATCTTCCACTTAGTTCAAGACTCAAAAAGAAGTTGCTTACCCATGTAGCCAGTGGTTAAACAACTAGTAATGTTAAAGTAACAATGCCAATTTACCTTTTTTTCTTGGAAGCTACAGTAAAGAATATAAGGCAGATATAATATGACCATGACTGCTCAAAAACAGTGTGGAAAAACACTGTTGTATTCTGAAGAAACTACAAGCGACAGAGAATTCCTGCTAGGAGTTTGTTTCCATAGGAGGGAATTGCAGTAATCAAGATTCATGGTCCTGACAGCTGTTGCAAAATCACCACAGATTAATAGAGGAGCAGATTGTGCAAATTTAAAAAACCCCATGTCTGCACAATGTCTAAACACAAGGCTTTCTATGGAAAGGGCATTGGTCAAAAGTGATGACAATATCTTAACAAGAAAGGATGGTCTTATGGTATGAAGTTTAAAGCACGCTGGCTCGCAACAGATTTCCTATGTGACTCTGACAAGCCATGAAATCTCACTATGGTTCAATTTCCCCGTATGTAAAACAGTAATAGTATTAACTTCCCAGGGTGTTATGAGGCTTAATTTGTTAAATATTGTAAAGCATTTTGAGATTTATGGTAACACGTGTAAACTACTTCCTCAGGTGGGCTGTGTGGTATACATACAAAGGATTATTATTTTTATCATTAACAAGACGTTATTTTTACATGCAGCAATATTTGTAATTAGTTACCTGCTTTATTCTGCAAAGATCTTCTACTGCCTTACCAGTCAAGAAAGTAATTGAAGTCACTTTATTCTGCGAAAGACAAGCAAAATCAAAAAGACAAATAAAAACTTCCACAATTAATTCTGAAAGTGAGTAGCATTATGGTAATTTCTTCCATATTAACATTACGGAGTGCCTTTTTAGAGACACAGGGTACGTCTATACTTACCCGCTGGTTCGGCGGCAAGCAATCGATCCCGGAAGTGCTCGCCGTCGACGCCGGTAATCCTGCTCCGCGAGAGGAGTAGGTGGAGTCGACGGGGGAGCCTGCCTGCCGCGTGTGGACCCGCGGTAAGTACCTTTAAGTTCGAACTAAGATACTTCGACTTCAGCTACGTTATTCACGTAGCTGAAGTTGCGTATCTTAGTTCGAACTGGGGGCTTAGTTTGGACCAGCCCACAGAATTAATGGAGTTGCACATTTAATTTCTTAAAACACAAGATATCTGTATGTCTAAGGCAATCTAAAGTTTTCATTACATACAAAAGTAGAAAGAAGAAAGTGTATAAATAAAAAACATGAAAGTGATTTTATATTGAAAACTTAGGACAATGAAAAATTACGGAAACGTTCCAATTAAATCTGCAAACTGTTCTGTTTGCATCACTATGTGCTCTTGAAATGAGGACATATACGAAACACTGCAGACTTACAGATCTAGCACTATGTTACATACTACATGCAAACACCCTGTGTACTCCATGGCAATGCTGCTGGATTCTGGGGTACTCCATACACCATACCAGAGCTACCGTAGCAGCTTCAGATATATACCTCTACCCCGATATAACGCGACCCGATATAACATGAATTTGGATATAACGCGGTAAAGCAGCACTCCGGGGAGGTGGGGCTGCGCACTCCAGCGGATCAAAGCAAGTTCCATATAACGCGGTTTCACCTTTAACGCAGTAAGATTTTTTGACTCCTGAGGACAGCATTATATCGGGGTAGAGATGTATTAAAAAGTTGAGATTTTAAATTAATTAAATCAGAGTAGTATTCCTTGTGTCATTTAATTTTATATTAAGTTCAATGTATTTTACACAGCCCCTACATTTAAACATTCTGTGTGTTACAATAATGTGTCAGTTTTCAGGAGAAAAAGTAGAAATTGTGGCAATAGGCCAGGAGACTGTCATGATCTTCTGGTATTTGGGGAGGCAAAGGATGCCATTTGGGATTGTCGGAACAAACTCTCCAAGTGGATGTTTTTGCAAAAAACGATCAGCAGGAAAACAGTTTATAATGTGGATAGTTAAATTCTAATAATTAGGTTTCAAAGTTAACAACCCACTGAGAATGAGGCTTACTGAATCACTTTATATTCCGTTTATGTTTGGAAGCTTTTCTTCATAACCAAAAAAGTTAGAAACTTAATTTCTCAAAATGAGATTTAGATTCTGGAGTAAAATTCTGAACCAAACAGGATGGCAAAAGTGGTGGGGAGGAGGAGGACTTTAATAAAATCTGTGACTGAATAATACACAAGGCCCTGGCTATGCACTTTTAATAAAGACAGACAATTTTTCTCTCACCCCAAGATCTCGGGAGTTGTCTACATGAACAGACACATAGCGAGCATTGATTCCTTTTACACAATTAATTGTGATGTTCTTAGTTTTATTTTTATCTTCATCTCCTGACTCCCAGAAGGTTTCTGTGGACCCATCTGTCAAACTGCCAATCATGGCAGGTCGGCTTGATGTTTTGATGTCAACAATGCTGGTTAGGTCTTTTAGGCAAATTACTATACACAATTCCTGTAACAAAAAGATGATTTAAAACCTCAGAAATGAAGCCCAAGTAAAAAAATGTCTAACACACTTTTTAAAGGAATACTTATTAAGATGAATACACTCTCTAAATTAAAAGAAGAAACCTGTGCACAACGAGTAAGTTACATGATCAAAGCTCCTGGTTTATTGAGCTCCAGCCACCAGAGGAAATACGATGGAAAACAGTTTCAGTTGCTAAAAAGTGTATTAAGAATTGGAAACAATGCTCAGGTTATTTTCTCCTACTCAATTCCCATATCCTCTCTTTACTGTACTTTTCTTTGTAGATGCTTATTAAAAAGCAGCAATGTGTGCTTTCAAAATAACAAAAGGAGAAAGAAGAAATGTGAGGAAGAAGAGGAGATAGAAAAAGAACATGAGATTTAAAAGGAATTTTTGAATTAATTTAAATTCAAACATAAAAGGCACTCCCACTCCTGACCCTAGCAACCAGTAACAGAAAGTAGGGATGGTCACTACTCAAAAATACCGATTTGAATAAGGTTCAGGTTGAGGGGTAATATTTGAATCTTTAAATCTAAATATAACAATCTGAATACCATCTACAAAGGCCCTGATCGTGATAGATATTCGTTACTGACATAAAATATTTAAATAAACTACAAATTTATTAATAAAAATTGCATGTAATAAAGTATGATTGCTAAAAACTAGAAAACTGAAATAGCTTGATTATAGTGCTGGAGGTTATCTACTAATTCATTTTGATCTACAACTTATTTATTTACTGATATAAAACTTGCCTGACTCATGGCTTCAAAGCCAGACTGTATACTGATACTAAAGCTCTCCTCACTATCTCCATCATCAGATTTGGACAAAATGTTGTTAATATGGTGAAAGACATTGCTCTGATGCAGGAACTGGTGGTCAGACTGTTTGAATTTGAGGCTCCAACATCTGAAAACACATTAAAGTAAGTTTATTAAAAGGTTTTTTCAATATCAGTGCACTTTTGCAAGCACCATTAGTATTTACATTATTTTAATTACTGCACAATTTTTAAAATTTAAGCTTATATAAACATTTTGAAAGGAAACATCTGGATCAGAAACATTGTGCATCATTTTGAAGAAGGCAAGAAGAAATATTCGTTAGCGCTGCAAAAAGTCTAAAGCAGGAATATTTGTTATAGTCACACGCAGGGCCGCCCAGAGGATTCAGGGGGCCTGGGGACTTCAGCAGCGGGTCCCAGGGCGGAAGGACCCCCCACCGCGGGTCTTCGGGGCACTTGGGCGGCGGGTCCCAGAGCAGAAGGACCCCCTGCTGCCGAATTGCTGCCGAAGACCCGGAGCGGAAGAAGTTCCGGGGGCCCGGGCCCCGCGAGAGTTTTCCGGGGCCCCCGGAGCGAGTGAAGGACTCCGCTCCAGGGGCCCCGAAAAACTCTCATGGGGCCCCTGCGGGGCCCGGGGCAAATTGCCCCACTTGCCCCCCCCTCTGGGCGGCCCTGGTCACACAAGAGTTGAGTTCAATAATAATTATTCCATATATTCCTTTATAGTAGCTATAATAGCAAAATGAAGAATACAGAAAATTTTGTGGAATAGCTAAATGACAGATTTTTCAAACAAAAAGTATTTAAGCTATATGTGGCTTATGCATGTACATTAAAGAACACAGTAATGTAATTATTTTTACAATAAAAGTAATGGATATGGTACAAAATTTAAAATCAAATACATTTTTCTCTACAAACCCTTTGTTTATGCAAGGGTTAAAGAAATATCTTTTTTCTCCATTTTAAAATAGCATATCCAGGCACTTCAGACTTCTAAAATACATTGCAAAATCTTCGAAGGAGTTAGTTTACAATGCTTGGATGTCTTGGGCCTTTCATAGTTTTCCCCAATTTTGTACCTACCTTAGGGCCATTTGTTGCAATGAACTACCACTGGGGAGAGACATCATAAGATCAGAGATGGTCTGAAGCAAACGATGGAAAGTGTGGGGCAATGGATGAGCTGCTTCACCAGCAATCACTATATCGGACAGTGGATGTTCACATACTCTTGTATCTTTCTCCTAAGATTCAAAGGAAATATGTTACACTGGTTCTGTTAATAAGAGGCTTTCATAAAATAAATATATATATTTAGACAAACAATGTTAAAACTGAGTTCAGGTTAAGAGTTCATATAAATAATTTAGAATAAAATATATCTCAGGGATGTTGGAATTATCCCCAAATGAATTGTTATAAACTGCCGGAAAGACAGAGGTAAAATTAACATTAAAAGAAATCTAAAGAGGTTAAAATACAGAAATGCACAATTAGGATTGACACCATGCAATAATCATATGATTAAGCACTTTAGAGTTTGTGGTCCCTCATTAGTTTAAACTGATATTTTAAAGTCCCATTAGATTTTTTTCTTTTCATCCCCCCAGTGTCCCTACCAAGCAGAGTTAAGGTTGTTTGGGTGCCCTAAATCTGCAATGCTATACCCTTCATTTCTTTTTTAAAACTTAACTCTGAATTTCCTAGATATATTAAAAAAACCCTTGATTTTGAGATAATTACAACATTCTTAAAATGTATTTTATCCTAAAATTACTGAAACATTCTTAACCTTCATACCAATTTAATGTAGTTTTTGTCTGGAAATTTCTAGGCTTTTTTTAAATCAAAAATTTCATACATGAACACTGAACAACAAACTGAAAAGAGAATGTTACCATGTGATATTTCTAATTATTTTAAAATATGAAATATTAACCTTAATTTTTTTTTGAAAAATTAAACAGGTTATGGCCCAATTCATCAGTATGTACCAGCTGTTCTATGCCACTCTGGAGCAGTAAAAAAGCAGCAGCCCACTGGCCTATTAAGCTGTGTTTACAGCTGCTTTTTTTCCCCCCCCCCCTTCTTTTTCTCATCAGTGTAGCACAAACCAGCTGGAGTCTACACCCGTGTTTCTTCCCTCACTGTCTTCCAAACTACCCCTGCCTCTTGTACCTCTTTACAATCCCTTCAACACATTATCCTTTCGGCCTTCATAACATCCCCCAGCAATGAGTTCCACAGGTTGACTGTGCATTTGGTGAAGAGTATTTCCTTATGTTTGTTTTAAACCTGCAACTTATTAATTTCATTGAGTGACTTCTGGCTCTTATGTTATGTTCTTATGTTTTTGTTACACAACTGCACTCAAAAACGAAACAATGTAAAACTTTAGAACCTACAAGTCCACTCAGTCCTACTTCTTGTTAAGCCAACCGCTAAGACAAACAAATTTGTTTACATTTACGGGAGATAATGCTGCCGCCCGCTTCTTATTTACAATGTCACCTGAAAGTGAGAACAGGCGTTTGCATGGCACTTTTGTAGTCAGCATTGCAAGATATTTATGTGCCAGATATGCTAAACATTCGAATGCCCCTTCATGCTTTGGCCACCATTCCAGAGGACATGCTTTCATGCTGATAACTCTCATTAAAAAAATAATGTGTTAATTAAATTTGTGACTGAACTCCTTGGGGGGAGAACTGTATGTCCCCTGCTCTGTTTTACCCACATTCTGTCATGTATTTCATGTATATGATGATGAGCCTGCATATGTTGTTCATTTTCAAAACACTTTTCACTGCAGATTTGACAAAATGCAAAGAAAGTACCAATGTGAGATTTCTAAGGATAGATACAGCACTTGCCCCAAGGTTTATGAATTGGAAGTGCCTTCCAAAATCTGAGAGGGACGAGGTGTGGAGCATACTTTCAGAAGTCTTAAAAGAGCAAAACTCTGATGCGGAAATACAGAACCCGAACCACCAAAAAAGAAAATCAATCTTCTGCTGGTGGCATCTGACTCAGATAATGAAAATGAACATGTGTTGGTCCACACTGCTTTGGATCGTTATCAAGCAGAATCCATCATCAGCACGGACGCATGTCCTCTGGAATGGTGGTTGAAGCATGAAGGGACATTGAATCTTTAGCACATCTGGCACATAAATATCTTGTGACGCCGGCTACGACAGTGCCATGCAAACACCTGTTCTCACTTTCAGGTGACACTGTAAACAAGAAGCAGGCAGCATTATCGCCTGCAAATGTACACAAACTTGTTTGTCTGAGTGACTGGCTGAACAATAAGTAGGACTGAGTGGATTTATAGGGCTCTAAAGTTTTACATTGTTTTATTTTTGAATGCAGTTATTTTTTGTACATAACTCTTTATTTGTAAGTTCAACTTTCATGATAAAGAGATTGCATTACAGTACTTGTAATGGGAGAATTGAAAAATACTATTTCTTTTGCTTTTTTACAGTGCAAATATTTGTCATAAAAATAAATATAAAGTGAGCACTGTACATTTTGTATTGTGTGTTGTAACTGAAATTAATGTATTTGAAAATGTAGAAAAGATCCAAAAATATTTAAATAAATGTTATTCTATTACTGTTTAACAGCGCAGTTAATCAGTTAATTTTTTAATTGCGCAATTAATCTCAATAAATATTTTTAATCACTTGACAGCCCTAAACAATATACAAGACCACAACAAACACTAAGATAAAGATACAGTACCATCTACTGTATTAATCATTACAATTCTCCCCTAGATAAATAAGAACTTAAAACAATAACTTCTAGGAAGCCAGGTAGTCTGACAATCATGCAGGTTTCTGTGTTGGTCTGCCCACTTGAGTCCTATATTCAGTCATGGAGACAACACTCATATTTTAATCTAGATTATCAGCGACTGCAGGCTTCATGTGCTCTAAGTTAGGCCTATCCTTTGTGGACTGTCTGTTGAAGACTGCAGTATGGCGAGGTCCCAACAACAACCTGGCAATTCCTCCTCCATTATTAGACACGGGAACTTGCTGGGGTCCCTCCAAATCCTCCTCTGCCTCTCTATGGGATGGTTGCTGAGCATCCTCAGTGCTTGTATCAGCAAGGATAAGGATGGGTTACTCCCCTTTTGGCAACTTGAGTTCTTCAAGATGTGTTGTCCCTATGTATAGCGTACTTTAGGGTGTACATGCACTCAGGACAGGAGATTTATCCTATCAGCATCCTTCTGGTTTGAGCGTATGCCCCCACTCTCCTCATGCTCCAAACCAAGGGATACAGGGGGCTGCCAAACTGCTGCCTTCTTAGTTCCTTCACTATGGCCAATTCCCAGTAGGGGGAAACCAGGCAGTGGGCAAGGAGGGTGGGTAGTGCACTACACATAGGGACAACATCTCAAAGAACTCAAGTAACTACAAGGTGGGTGACCACTCATCTTCGAGTGATCGTCCCTATATGTAGTGCACTTCAGGTGATTCACAAGCAGGGTCTCTACTGAGGTGGTGGTGCCTGGAGTCCTAAGACACAACAGATTACAGAACTGGCCTGCCTAGAGAAGCATCAGAAGCAGCTGTTTGCACCAGTGCACAGTGTGTAGTAAAGGTGTATATAGAACTCCAAGTTGCTGCTTTGCAGATGTCAGCAACGTCTCTAACGTAGATAACCAGTACTGCCTGAGCTCTAGTCAAGTATGCTCTCATACTGTCCTCAAGCAAGACATTGTTCATCTCATAGCAGAGTAGGGTGTACCTGAAAACCATTTAGACAGTCTCTGGGAGAAAATGACCTCTCCTTTCATACGTTCTGCCAAATGAATGATGATGAAAAAAATCTAGGTGACTTTCTAAATGATTTTGTCCTATGCAGGTAAAAGGCAAGAGTCCTACACATGTTCAGTGAATGCCACATCACTTCCTCTCTGCTAGAGTGAAGTTTAGGTTAGAGCACAGGTAAACAGATATCCTGATTGATGTGGAAAGTCTGATACCACAGTAGGGACAAAACTTCAGATATAGTTTTATGGACACCTTTTCCTTGTGAAAAACCGTAGTGGGTTTGTCAGCCATGGAGACAAGGAAGTACCTCAAGTAGAATCTCTTTCCCCTTGCTGCTAGAGATACTAGTTATATCACTCCTAGTTTGTGTTCTGAGGCCTTCCAGGACTTGCTTAAGAGGGTGGCAGAGTCACTTCAAACCCCCCTGGAAGAGGACCAGGAAACCATAAGGTCACCATTCTGAACTTTAGGTGGCAGATGAAACTTTTCACCTCTGTGAGGTCCAGAATTTGGATGGAGTTAGAAAAAGCCTGTCTGGCTGTTGTCCAGGCCCTCCTGAGCAGTAATAGAAAGGACTCTACCAGGAAATGTTACAAAGCAAAGTGGAAAAGATGTTAATTTGAGTGTAACCAACAAGGAATTTTTCCCTTATAGGGAAAGATTTCGGATATGCTGAACTCCCACTTATCCTTACAATCCTCAGAGCGGTCTGTTAACTTCCTCAGGATACACCTGGCAGCCATCAGCATGTTTCACTAACCAGTAGACACCTACTCTGTATTTTCCTACCCAGTCTCTGCCCACTTACTGAAGGGTCTGACTAGAATCTTTCCTTCTGGCAAAACCTGTACCAGTCTGATAAAACTGTGAACCTTGTTTTATCAACACTTATAAACTGTGAACCTTGTTTTATCAAGTCACTGTTTGAGCCCTTGGCATCGTGCCAGCTACATCTCTCTGTGAAGGTAGCATTTTTGTCACTATCACATCAGCCATAGGATTTGGGGAGCCAGTTTGGGATTTTTTCCAGGTTGCTTTTTCCAGTTGCATAGCCACACCTTCTCCCCTTCCTGGTTGAGCACATAATTCACCTATTTCCTGGCGCTTGAGCCTGGCATGCTCGCTTCCGGCTCATCTGTTTCTCCATCTTCTGGAATGCCGTCCCTAGGTCACTCATATACAACTCTGCCATGTCACCCACCTATGTAGATGCAGGGGGACCTTGCTAGTTGATTCTTGCTGCCTGAACATCAAGTCACAGGGAAGGATGAGTTTGCAGACTCCAAAAATAATCTTATCAGGAGAGTAATGGATAGTTGAGTGCTGGCCAGCATTATATGTAAAGATCTTTTTGTATTCCAGTCTTGTTGGTCTTCACTGACAGATGCTAAGCATGGAACCAGTGGTGTGGTTTACTGTCTCCATTTCTACAGCACTCACAGAGTAGGTGATATTGGGCCTCACATGGGTTATTTGGAGTTGTCAGCAAACCTTATGCGACAACCAGGGTTCAAACTTCTTCCTCGATCACTACAGATACAGCGTGGTGGTCTGATCTGCAATACTACATGTTTCATCAATGGAGGTCAACCCTTTATGCTTCAGTAGTTGTGCCACCACATACTTTGAGAGGTTGTCAGACACTACCAGCAAATACTGGTGTTTCTGGTAGTGAGCCTTTCAAGTCAATATATGTGAACTCAAAACATGGGAGGAGCATCTGGTAGAAGAGGAAAGGATTCTAAAACTCTTCCACTGCTATCTAATATACCAGGGGAATCGGATATGGAAGCTGCCTCACAGGAACGTTCCCTCACTTAAGAACAATCTGAGGCAGTACCTGATCACATCTCTCAAGATCTTCATTATTCTTGGAGATCACACTAGCATACCATAAGAGCAGCTGTTCTAATCACTTTTTTGTCAACTTCTCTGGCAGCATCTCTCAAGTCAACACTTAGCTCTTTTACATCTTTTAATCTGTGCCCCATGAAAGGTTTTTAGATATCGGCTACATTGTATACTGTCTCCATGGTCTGATTTTTCACTAGCTGCACTTCCTGGTCAGTGACATTAACTGCTCTTACTCAGAACTCACCCTTTGGTCCAGCTCAAAACAGGGATCTGCTAAACAGCAATCCTGACTGGATATTTGTAGCTTCACACCCTCCTTCAGGTTCACTGCAGAAGTCCTTTATCTTTATGGGCATTAATGCATGATGACCTGGCTTCACCACAACTTTATTCCAAGCCATCACAGGGAGCAGTTTTTCTCTGTCACTCTGTAGGCCTGGTAGAGGCATCTCTAAGCCTCTAAGAGTTGCTCCCCAGGGTCCACACTTCCTCTTACTCCCAGATCAGATACAAAAACATAATATACAAGACTACAACTTAACAATAAGAGAGAGATACAGTACCATTTATCGGTAGAGGCTATCTGCACTGATCATTACACTACCTGAAATCTGTTACTTTAAGAGTATATATTACAATAGGGTTTTTCATCACATGATCACACCATTAAAGAGAAGAAATATAATTCAAAAACAAGTCAAGGCCACATACATTAGCTTAATTTAAAATAATTTCATCATCAAGTTTTGCAAAAAACCCTGGAACACACTTAGCTACAAAGTTGAAAAACTGTTGCCAATTACTCGCTTGCCAGAAAATTACTCATCCCAGTCAAGTGGGTGAGGAGAGTTTTGCAAGACTACTTCATTATAACAAAAAGAATAGTTGCCTCTATAGGAGAAAAACATAACTGTTCAACATAAATTATGCCAGCATAACCTGTGGTTTACACAAGCCCTAAGAATAATAGCGTTTCTTAGAGAAAACTTCCCTCAGTTTTCGGGTATGCAATCTAAGCATAGTTTTAAGTTACTGTACTTGTCAAAAAAACAGCATTTTCTATTATAGAGAATGTTTTAAACAGTTTAAGTGCAAAAATAATGTACTAAAATTGCAATGGATCAGCAGAACATCATTAATTCAGCAGTCATGAAATGTGAATTAAATGTAAGGGTGATCAACAAAAACAAATACTGTATAGATATGTTCTTGAAAAAAGTGAACTAAAATTTCCCATTCCATAGTTAAGATTTTGTTTTTCACTAAAAGCTACACAACATACAAGATTAACGTTTGTTTTCACTTTTAAAAATATTTTCTGAATGTGTAAACTAGCTGTACAGTCATACCCACAATTTCTGTAAGATACTTTATGAGTAGCATGCTAAAATCTCACATACTTGCTCTGCATTTTCTTTATTCGCTTTGTTCTCCTCATCCTCATCTTCCTCAGGTTCCATAGGGGCAGGAGTCAGTGAAGCCACAAAATGCCATAAAATATCATGAAGAGAAGTTGTTTGAATGACATTACAGAGAAGCCAATTAAAAGCCTAAAACAAATGTAGATACACAGTTATAATTTATGTTAGGAAAGTTGGAGGTATGCATGTAGAGTTCAACAAAAAGATTCATTTTAAACATTTCACAGAAGGAGAGGCACCAGTATTTTGAAAAGTTATCAAAAACACTGCTGCACAAGCCCTTTTATTAAACTATTTCTTACAATTATGTAAATATATTATAGGGAATACACCACACTGACGGCTTGTACACAAGACAATGTGCAGCAAGCTGGGGGGTAACTCTACAGTGCTCTAGCCTGTCACACCCTAACTGATCATGTGGATTTTGTTACAGCACAGTATTTTAAAACAAAGCTTGAAAAAAATAAGTCCCTTAGATACATTTAAAGATTAGAGACACACTGCTGACCATCCAAACTAGCACATTTACAGTTAACATTTCTATTTTTATATTTCTGATTTTGCAGACATTGTTATGGATACTTAGACTTGTTTAAAAACTTGCTGGAAGTCTCAATTTGGGATTAGTAAAAGAGCATTATCTTTTTTGTATTAGTATTTAATTTAATATAAAAATTTGTTTCAAAATTTCTCTGGAATTAGGACAAGTAACTGATGTGTCATTTTTATTACAGTTAGATCCATTAATGCATTAATACCTCCATAGCAAAGACTCGGCAAGCAGATTTCCGTAAGGCTTGTTTCATTGCTATTTCAAGTCCTTCCAGATCATGGTGCTGGATTACAAATGCCAGAACTGGCCACTGGAAATTTCTCTCTCCTTTAGAAAGAGAGCTGTGGGCGGAGATTAACCGAGAAAGTTCAGGAGATGGATGTCTCAGGAGAGATGATCCCACTTCTATTTAAAGTATAAAAATATATACATATTAGATTCTTTGTGTAATTGTTTTTACTGCAGCTAGTTTGCTAGTATTTATAAAATAGCAACTTTAGTAAGGATGTTCTATTTTTTCCTTGTAGAACAATACACCGCTACCTCAATATAACGCCACCCGATATAACACGAATTTGGACATAACGTGGTAAAGCAGTACTCCGGGGGGGGGTGGGGCTGCGCACTCCGGTGGATCAAAGCAAGTTCAATATAACGCAGTTTCACCTATAACGCGGTAAGATTTTTTGGCTCCCAAGGACAGCGTTATATCGAGGTAGAGGTGTATAATACAATCCTTGAAGTGAAAAAAATTGTGCTTCACTTCAGGGTAAGCAGACACTAAAAATCTGCAAGAATTCTTCCTGAATTTTAAAACCAAGCAGAGAACTCCCAGGAATTCATTTCAGACCTGAATTAATTCCTGAGCCACTCTTAACGCTCTGCATATTTCTCATAACTTACATGTGGTTAATATTTAACAAGCTATTAGTATTTGGAACTGGGTGAATAATGGAATTTTTGGTTCACTGTCAATTCCAAAATATCAAAAAATGTTTAATTTCAGACTGAAACGAAAACAACATTTTGAAAGCTTTTCAGTGAATCGAAAAAGTTTTGAACTGGGTCAAACCAAAACGTTTCATTTTGGGGCATTTGACAAAAGCAAAGGAGGACTAGATTCACAAAGTGACCAGAGACTGAGAAGGAGGAGGTTTCTTTAGCCCAGCAGTTAGGGTACTCACCAGGGAAGTGGGAGACCCAGGTTCAATCCCCCCCCTTTGCCTGATGTGGAAAAGGGACTTGAATAAACTATTCACTGAAAAAAGTCTGCCCAGCTCTATTAATTACATATATTTATATCAAATGGTAATTTTTTTCCTACAGTCTTTCACTAAGAAACTGTAATCCTATGATCTATCCTTAAACTCCATTTACTTTTTTTAAAACTAAAAATAGACATTTTAGAAAAGTGTAAATACTTTTTCTGCTTTAAGAGGTCTATTTTTACCTGCGTCGCCACTGTTGACTCTTCTTCTGGGAATGGCCTTAACCCGTGCAGGTAAAATCGAGTGCTGTTTGTCATATTCTGATGCAACAACTGAGTATGATCTTTGAAAAACTGTGCGCTTTGCCAGGTCTGTATCTGTTATTGGACTGGTCTCCAAACTGCAAAGAAAAGAGATCAGTGAGGTCATAAAAACACTTTTTAAAGTTTCAGTGATGACATAACTCAGACAAAATTCAGAACTACAGTATTACCATTAAAAACCTAAGCTTTAAAGACAGGAATTGAAGCAGACGAGAAAGCAGCATACATTTGGATAATGGCAATACTACCGATGTATGAAAATTTACCTTATGCAACATAACAGTAATAACTATATGAACTCATATAGTTGTTCATATAGTATGGACAAAGAAATTCTTGCAAATTCTTTCAACATAAACATTGCTAATATGTGTATCTTGTATTTCTTAAAATATATAATTGTGATGTAGCAAGGTAAACCCTGACAATCCAAATATCTCATGGGGGGAGGGGGAAGAAGAGGCATCCAAAGTATTCAGATGACTGAGTTTCAGATAAACAAATGTATGATGTAGACAGATTTATAAACTCCATGGGCCTCCTACGTGAAATTTAGAAGTTTGTTTAGTGGGGGAAATAACGTTTCCCAACCAGTTCTGATCTGCTGTTGCCAATCCACTGGAATGTTTCACTACCTCCTACTTTGTGTGAACTTCTTATGGTCTACAGAAGAGATCCCACTTCCCACTCTTCCTAAAGGGTGTGCGAGAGCCCCATTGCCCCAAGTCTTAAAAGGGGCAAGGTGGCTACACCAAGGTGATTCTGAGGATCCCTGTTAGAGCAGAGATTTGAGATCAGTTGACCAGACACCTCGTTCTCTTTCCAGAAGGTGATCATGGTTAAATGTTGGCATTCAAATTTGTTTTTACATGTCAAGCTCCATGACAGAGAAATAAATATATAAAAATGTTGTGGCTGATTATGTCCTCTTGATATATGAAATATCCCAGATTTTGTTTCCATTTTGTTTGCTTCAGTATCAAAGTTCAGACTTGCGGCAATTCTGTGTTAAATCAAATAATATAAATTAGTTTAAAGTTTTGAACAGAATTGGAGCTCGTGTTTGAAAATATATGAGAGACTGTTGTCTTTCTGTAAACAAATACAATTTCTGGTAGCCTATAAGCCAAACATATATACAAGTTATGGCTAGAATTCAAGGGCTGAGCTGACTTGGTATTTTGGCTACCTATTGCAGCAACAATTCCCATTACCCTTGTGTTCACTTCAGTGCTGTGCTAGTATGTTAGCTAACAGTTATCAAGAAGTACACTGGCATACCTTGGTGGCATAGATTTCATGTTACTCTCTGGTTCCTCAAAGACATTAGGACATGCATCAGGAGTGACTGATATGTATGGTGCAGGTACTGAAGTTGAACGCAGATATCTCATCTCATCTTGGAAGAGGTTGTCATCCTGATAGCTAACAAAGTTTTCATGATGATGCCTGCATTAAAGCAGATATTTAAACTGATGATGGTGATGATCTGTATTATCATAGTGCTCAAGAATCCTATTGGACCAGAACCCCATTGTGCTGGGCATTGTACAAACCCAGAACCAAAAGACACTTTTCTAAACCAACCAACCGACCCTTTCCAGTCCAATTAGCTAGCAATTACTGTCACTTGTACACCTACTGCATTTGAGCCTAACCTGGTTGTGGCCTTTAGGAACTGAAGCAATGTAAATGTTAATAAGATGCTGAAGTAGTGAGCTAAAGAATAGCCTATCTGGATGTGTTTATCATTTGCTAATGTTTCGCAAACAGCAGGGCTTCTCAAGATGATGTTACTTATTGTAGAACCAAATTTCCACCTTCATCCTGAACCATTATAGGACTCATGAATATTATATACCAAATTGAAATATACTGGGAAATACAAAGGGGCACATGCTTAAATGCTCTGAATTGAGAGGAGATTGTAGGAGGGGACTATGTATACTAGGCTCAAGTCAAAACATGAGTCTTATTATGGAGTTCTGCTACCAAGTTCTTAAATCACTGAAATTTAAGTTTTAAGAATTATTCATCAAGCATCCAAAAGCATGTTAGGGCACCTCCCAAATTCAGTAGCTCTGATCCCTGGAGCAACTGCAATCTAAACAGACATGACAAAACCATGGAAGATGGAGAGAAAGTCGGGGGCAAGATAATAAAGAAGCATGAGAATGCCTCCAGAGAGCAGCACGCTTTTATATATACATTTTAGTTTAGTACATAAAATACACATTTTATTTTTATTGAAACATTATGCATAAATGGATTTATGAACTCATGAGTAGCTTTCATTACCTTGCTAAAGTTTGCAGATAGAGGCATGGCATTTTAATGGGAAAGTCCTCAGAAATTCCTTCTTTAACACTGGGAAGCTGAGACTGGAATGGTTTTGCAGGATGATAGCACAAAATACTGGGCTCAGCAGCACTGCTCAGGGACAGCAAGAACAGAGCATTGGCTTTAATCACTTGATGAGCTTCCATAGTTGGCAAGGCACGAGGAGTCTTAACTTGCATTGGCTTTCTCCTGTATTGTTTAACCTAGAATACAAAAATGTTACATGTTTACATATTATTTTATTATAAGTAAGGTTAAGACTTAGTCATGGGTATTTTTCGTAAAAGTCATGAACAGGTCACGGGCAATAAACAAAAATTCACGGCCCATGACCTGTCCATGACTTTTACGAAAAATACCCATGACGACTAAATCTCTGCTCCTAGGGCCCCTCGGGGGGGGGGAGGGGAGCGCCTGCTCAAGTGGTGGGGGCTGACTGCCCCCAGTAGCATGCTGCTCTAAGGCCCCCAGGGACCGCTCTCCCCAAGGACTGTTGTTAGGTGTTGATTATTCAGTAGCTGGGGACAGAGCTGTCTTGCTGGATCCTCTCTTCATTTGGGTCAGTTTTAATCAGTTCATTAATGACAGTCATTCCACCCAGACTGCCATGTGACACACATGCACACACTTCTTGTCTCCCGCATTGTTTTGGGAGCAGCATTAACCATTTTGCACCCACTTAGTAGCAATGCAACACATAGAGGGAAACTGACACATGCTTAGGATTCATAAAGATGTTACAGAAAATTCCCACTTTGACACACATGTTCACATACAATTTTTTCCCACCGGGCTCCTGCCTTGTTCAGTGGATAGCATACACCATGCTTTGGGAATGAATAAGGGTTGTGTAGTGAAGGACAAGGTTGTGACTGTAAGACCCCTTGCCTCATTCGTTCAAGAAATTGAAAGGTGTGTAATGAATAAAGCAGGGGATGCAGGAAGAAAAAAGGTCTCATGGTTAAGGCAGTTAAATGCCCTGGAGAACTGAATTCTATCCCTGCCTCTGTCACAGAGTTCCTGTGTGATGCTAGGCAAGTCACTTAAACCAAACTTTTCACAGGTGGCCACTTAGCATGCTCATTTTCTGGGTTCCCAATGTGAGGCCTGTGGTCTGATTTGCAGAGTGCACTCTCAGCTGCATCTGAAGTCAATGTGAGCTATGCTTTGAAGATATTAAGACTATATAATTTGAAGTAGTCTGAAAAATAAGACCTCATGCATACCAAACTGGGCATCCCAAATTAGTGATAACTTTTGATTATAAAATCTCTGTGCCTCAATTCCAAACCACTCACATCAGTAAACTTAATTCTGGCATTTCCTAACTTGTGAGTGCTTGATTTTGAAACCTTAACGTTCTTTGAATGTAATTTTTTGTTTGCAATTTTATTCACATAGCACAAATGACAAAACACAGAGGAGGATTACAAAGGAAACAAAAATGATATATCAGACAAGGCTAGGGAAAAAGTTTCCTTACCTATTAATATTCTTTCTTCAAGATTTTCTATATCAGGCCATACACTTGGATTATAGTCCCTCCCAACCACCAGATGGAGAACAAGAATTTAGGTAATGCCATATCTTCCCTTATAAGGGTCTAGCTATCTCAGCTTTCAGTTGAATATTTCAGAAGCAGTACCAAGTAAGAACTTAACCAATTCATAAATAACCATTAAAAATGTTAAACAATTTCAGTTTGTCAGTGACTCTATCAAAGTTCTTAATGAGTTAGGCACTCAAATCTTACAAGGTGGTGGATGGGACTGGTATAAAAAGGCTCTAATGAAGGAAAATTAACAGATAAAGATAATTTCCCCCTCTCTCTTTGATCTTCTATAACAGATGATATGCATGCGATCTTCCAAAGCATCAGATAAGCCAGTCGTCTTTGGTCTTGTACACTCAATAGCAAAGTCATGACTACCAACTGTACTGGGTGTCCACATGAATTAAGGACCTTGCATACACAGGTTCAGACTAAACAGGAGCCTGAATGGGGATGGACATGGACATGTTCACCAGTTCCAGGGTACCATGGTCTTCTCAGTCAGCCTGGAGTTATAAGAAAAAAAGCTCCTCTTGATTTGGCAAACCTTCTACAAGACTATGCTGATCATGGGCCGGGGTAGGAGGGGAATGTACATTTGGCTGAGGTCTATTGACATTCAAGGTAATTTGTTCTGCTTGCTTCTGCTTTCTTGAATCTGAAGTATTTTTTTCCTGGGTATAATGAGATTTCATTCTCCTGATTCAGCTGCATTCTACTCATCCAGTCAGGTGTGCCGGTTCTCATCCTCAGACTCTGATGGCCAACTGACTGGTAGGGTTCTTTTTGGCTTAAGCCATCAACAGGTCTGTTTCCCTGAACATATCTTGACTTCTTGTGCCTCTCTGGTGACAGATGTATATTACAGATCGTGGCAATGTCCAACTGAATTTTTATGGATGAATATATTAGCTTTCCCTGGAAGTGTAACAGAGTGATCCTCACAACCTTGGACTCTAACTTGTTTATGGAAGACTTCCTTTGAACCAGTGATGAACATTGCAGCAATGTTGGAAAAAAAATTTCCACCCCAGTGGATGGTTTATTGAAATTGTCCTCAGTTAGCTATTAACTTCATGAGTCTTGAAGATATTTGCAGGATCTTTGAGGTTATCTCTTTACTCCACTTCCAACAGGAAGACACACTAAAGAGAGTGCATATTAAGGGCATACACTGAAGCTCACAGCCATTGACCCTAGCACCTGCTGACAGTTCTATACTGTGCTCTTTGAGTAGTGAATTAAAAGTTTTGACTTGGATCTGCAGCTTATTCATAGAGTCCTACACAATAAATGCCCATTTAGTATCGTGAATTCTTCAGATACATAAGGTTTCATGTGGGACTGAAGGAGCTCTTCTTGTTTATCACCAACCCCTGCCTTCCCAAATAAGCCCTACTGTCTTCCACTGATGAACTGGCTGAAGCTTCTGAACCAGCTCAGAGCAGCCAGTTATCCAGATATAGGCTATACAGTACAGTTTGCTCCAGGACAGCAAATCACAGTTATTTCCAATGAGACTGCAACACTGGCATATGCAGGGACATATCCTAGAGATCCAATGAGCATAAGAATTTACCTTAATCTCCTCCTTGAATAATTGTTTTAAGTGATTCCATCTGCTTAAATTAGCATTGACCCAACTGTGCAATGACAGCATGTTATTTGCCAAATAATGACTTATTCAAAGAGATTTACCTACATTGCTTGCAAGATATTAGCTTCTATATTAAAATATGTTAGCATAAAACTAAAAACTAATTTACAAATTTGAATCTGAAAATAAGTAAATACACTGTAAAATAATTTGGATTAACAACAACTAATCAGTTATGACTTCTCCCCCTTCCCCCACAAGGAATAAATTGGATCTTAACTACAAAACCAGAAGTGTTCAAATTTTTTTTATCACAGTATATTAAAACTACTTTTAATATAAATGAACATTTCATGATATTGAAATATCTTGAAATTCTAAAATTACCAAGATAACCTGAACTATTAATACTAACACTGGAGAAACAAATAAATATACCTTCTCTCTTGCTGCTGCTTGCTTTTCACGGAGGTATTTTTCTCTGCATCGATCACAAACCAGATACCAAGTGCTTCCTCCTATACCACCATCACCACAATTACCAGCCCATCCTCCGCAGAAGTGTCCAATGCTATTATAACCTTGACCACCTGCATACCGGCCACAACCTTGAAATAATGAAGACAAGATCCATAAACAATAACTTTATTTTTAGGAATAACAATTAATGCTTCTTTTCCTATCTGTAAAATAGGAAGGAGGAGACTCATTTTCTTTCCCTTAGCCTGGTTTTATTCTCTCTAAATTCCTTGAAAGCTATATTCTGAAAGCAAATGGTGGTGTCCAATACTTGGAAAGTTTTTGCTTTTTAAAATCTGTTGATCAGAACAGCTTTTTAAAAGCTTGAGAATTACATTCATTACTTATTAATATCACAGTAGTGCCCCAAAGTCAAGAGACTGTGCAGACACACTGGAAGACAGTCCCTGATCCAAAAGGCTCACAAATCTGAAAATGGGAAATGTCGTGCAACCTTCATGATAGGTGGTGCTACCACCCTGCCGATAATTTTATCCCTCTTCATTTGCCAAATACATTTTTAAGCTTATTTTTGATGAAGGTGGAAACTAAGTAGCTTTGTTTCTTTTTGTGTTCAAAGGGTATCAGTCAAATGCCTGGAATGTATGCTAATTGCTCCACAGCTAAAAGAGGGAGCACAAATTTCAACTGGATTCTATATTTTTGCTTCCCGCAGCTCCCGTTGGCCGGGAACGGCGAACCACGGCCACTGGGAGCTGCGGGGGGCCACGCCTGCGGACGATTAACATAAACAAAATGTCTCACGGCCCACCAGTGGATTACCCTGATGGGCCGCGTGTCGAAGGTTGCCGACCCCTGCTTTAAAATAAAAATCTAAGGAATTCTAAAAAATAAAAATCCAACCTTAGATGTAATAAAACTTTAAGGTTGAAAAATTAAGCTCTTAAAAGTTAGGAAATTTCAGAAAATAAAGGGACATTTTCAACTTTAAAAAAATTACTTTTCTGTGCGAAAATTATGTACATACTATAGCTACTAGAGAACCTAAGATTACTGTAACTGAAGTAAGTTAGCAAAAAACCAGTATTTTCAGTTTGACGACTTTGTGTAGTTGATGTTTCTTTCTGTATGGCCAGTTTCTCCCTTGGTGAGAAGGCCCTTATAAAAACATCAACAATGAAGCAAAAATGTTTATTTTCAAGAAGAGGATTTCTTTTAAAGTTCAGAATGTATTATTTAAAGGGTGTTCTATCAGAAACTAATTTTTTTTTTAAATGCCCACGCTGCTTTTTGTAGAGTCCTAGTCTGAAATAGCATGCACATGTAAAGATGTGTAGGTGATAACATGCACTGAATGCTTCAGGATTCCCTTGGTGATCTTAGTGAATGAAACAGGACTTCTATGGAGCCCTGTCTCCTTCATACACGTCTTAGGATAGAAGCATGTTTTAAAGTAAGCCAGGCATGCATGTATGACATAGCCTTCCTTCACTTAGAAAATTATTTAAAAAGTGCTAAAAATTAGACAAGAAGTATTATGAATGCACAATGTGCAGTTTTCAAACCCCTGTAACCTGTTCCAATGAAAAGTTTCATCGGAGCACTCCAGGATACTTCACACAGAGGACTATTTCTCTGTCAAATTTCAACTTTCTACCCAGCCCCTCCCCCCAACCCCATATTAGAACAAGTGCTGCTTGACAAACAACAAAAATAGTGGCAAAAGTAAACATTTCTCCCCCACTCTTCTCCCATTTGCAAGAGGCTGAACAGTTTTTGCTCAAAGTTGTCAAAAATCTTCACTCTTGTCCAGAGAACAGGTCTGGAAAATTTTAGTCTAAAGTTTCAGAAAGTTATCAATGACTGAAAATATGGGGTTATAATGGAAATGTTTGGCAACCTAGAGCTCCTACTAAAGTTAGGCTTTTATTTTTTAATTTTGATCTCCTCTTATTTTCCCCACACAGTCACAAACTAAGATTTTAGATTAAAATTGCGTTGCCAAATAGGTACTGTAAATTCAGTTTTTTAACTGCTTTTAGGTCCAAATAGGTCCTGATTCAGCAAGGCACTTAAATACGCCTGTAACTTTAAACGTGAGTGCTTAAAACTACTCACATGCTTAATCCCTTGCTGAATCAAGGTCTTCCATTTCTTTATTGTTTTAATGAACACAATTCCCAATACGGGTAAGGAGGCCTAATTTATTTTTATAACAATAATGACTGTCAAAATACAAACTATGTAAAAATAAACTTTGAGTGAGGACTGGGTTATGGAAAAAAAATAGTCTTACCCGGATGAGCTTGTCTCATGTGGTAAGTCACTGGATATGGATGGGATTCTCCACATAACTCACAGATGGTATCTTTCTCAGGTCCTCCCACTGCAAGTTGGGCCATCTCACCAAAAAGATTTCCCCTTGGCCTAGCCTCAGCCTTTTCTTTTTTCTTTTTTTCCTTTTTGGTTTTCTTGTTATCTTTGTCGCTTTCTTTCTTCTTTAATACTGCACAGGAACCAGGGCTTGGGAAAATCATATTCTGGGATGCTGCTTTGATAGTTGCTAAAGAAATATCTTCCCAGAAAGCTACCAAATGCTGCAGTGTTAAGGGAAGAGGAGATTTAGATTTCATAGTATAATGACTGGTTGTTTCAAAAGAGGTAATTTCAGTTTTTCCATCCTCGCATTTCTCATGCAGAGGTGGTTCTTTAAGCATAGACAGGACCTTGTTTTTGTTGATGCTGCCCATTTTAGATATGTCTGGACCATGAGGTGCAATGTTAAACATATTAAGAGCAGATGATATTTCCAATGAGTGTCTATTTTTCAACTTGATTTCTTTTTCCTCTGTAGGTTGATGATTAAGACTGTTTCTTATTGGTGCATGCTCTTTGGTAAGCTCTGGATTAAACTTCAAAAAAGATGAACAAGCCATAGCATCATGGACTATTCCTTCATGCCACAGGAAAGAAGCAAAGACAGCTCTGGCACATTCTGCAACAGATGGTGACATTGCTTGCTTGGCTGGCTCTACAGATTTGGATCCATCTCCTTTGAAAAGTAAGCCAGATTTTTCCTTTTTGGGTCTTGTGTGCCTACTGGCACACTTACGGCTCACTTTTGGAGAAGCTCTCATATCTTGCTCATCTTTCAGTGGTGCTTTTCCTATGCTAAAATGAATTTTATTAGAACTATCATCCACAATTTTGAATTCTGTGCTATCGTCACATGTGCTATCTGTAATGCTATTAGTCTTTAAAGTACTTGAAGTGCAAACTTCAACAACTTCACTGTGAAGGTTTTCTTGTACAACGTGAGGGGAAGGAGCTCTATTTTCAGTTTCAGTCACAGGTTTTGCATCTTTTGATAGTATTTTTGGTTTGGGTGAAGTGGACCGTCCCCTTAATGGCTCTGTTAGCGGTACTTTCTTTTTGCGAAGTGTGTCTGGATCTAGTGTGTAAGAATCTGATTTGGATCGTTCCCGAGGAGGCTCAAGCTTTGTTTTTACAGGGATTGAGGCTTTTTGAGGTAGAGTCTTATCATGCGGAGATGATGATCGTGGTGAACTAGCACCAGAAGTGCTGGATCTTCCTGCTGTGAGTGGCTTTGGCTTTGGTGAGGAAGACCGTGTTCCTGGTCCCGGAGATTCAGCTCTTAGACCAGAAGTTGTCCTCCCATCAGATTTTAGTGTCTGCAAAGTGTTATGGTTTGGAGATAATGATCTGCTATGAGAATCTGACCTCAACTTTGCAGCATCTGATTTCAACATAAGAGACTCACTGGCAGATAAGCCTTCTGTGTTCCTTGGTTTTTTCTGGTCAGCAACAGTTCTGATCACACGTCCATCAGGTTTGGGTGACTTGCTCTCAGCCCTGTGTTTTGATATGTCTGATTTTCCTGCTGGAGAAACTGGTCTAGCAGCTGCTGAGAAATTCACTCGGTCACCTGTATGGTACATTTTATAGTGAAATTATTACTACATTTTGTAACTGATACCCATTACAATACAAATTAAAAGACACAGAATTGAACACAAAGATAGAATTCAACCAGGTGCTTCTGTTAACATCTCAAAGTGCCAACAGAGCTGGAAAAAAGGATTTTTTAAAAACAATTATAATGCAACCACCGATTACTTAAAACTACTTTGCAAAGGGTGCAAAAATATATACATGAGTATGCATTTAAAACATATACAAGAAAATATTTACTAGAAAATGCACTATTTGTGAAATTACCTAGAGATCAAAAGCACTACTATACCATATGGAGAATTTGAGTTCACAACCTCCACTGACCACCAATAAGGGAAAGTAATTTGTTTACTTGGAAGCTAGAATACAAAGCATTATTAGCTAAGTTTACCATAGCTAAGATTACCAAAGTCACAACAGAATTATTATTTATTAGCTTTACATATGTTAGACTGACTACAACTATGGAACTTGCTGGATGGTCTCTTGGCTACTTGTTTATTTTTCTTCCATGCTTAAAAGACAAAAAGTACATATAGAAAGTAATTGAAACTACACAAATAAATTAGGATAAGAGGCATGTTCCTCACATGTTGCAAAAAAGTCAGGCTCAAGTTGGAGGTTGCCATATTATTAAGGTGAGTTGAGAATAAATACATGTGACAACTCTTGTCTACTAATTCATCTTTTTTGTTTTGGTGCAGACACAATAATTGATTGTATTTACACCAATTCATTGCCAATCCATTATCTGATAGAACTATGTAATTGCTTTTTATAAATGTATGTAAAATACACGTGTACAAGGCTGAATAGTGTAGCTCACAAGAAGAAAGTAATTTGTGTCCATATTGTTTTCTATGAATGGATGCAGTTAGTCTATTCTGCAGGATGGCATTTATAAACAGTGCTGGCAAGCTACTGAGTAATCATGAATAAATAAATCTAGAATACCGCCTCTTTCCTTGGCCTTATACAGCAATTTCCTTGCTCATGTGATTAATCCCATTGATTTCAATGATTGTAACACTTGTGATATACAGCATAATACAATCAGCCCCATAAATAATATCTCAGCATTTTGAACTCAACCAGCACAAAAATTAATATTTAATACAGTATTAAATAGTCAATTTTTCATTAGTTTATTTATAGACTAAGTAACATGAAAATGAATCTCTACCCGTTCTCCCAAATTTCACTAGTTTGTTGTCTAAATATTCATACATGTATGACAGTAGTCTGGTTTATAGTATCTTAACTGGTTGTAAACTAACATTCTATCTTCAACATACAAGTCATGAAACCATTACAGTTAAATAAGCAACAATGAGTTGTTATATTATATGAACACTCACGCATATCAAACTTTAACATTAATTTTGAAAAAGTGTTTTATCAAGTGAATGGAATGAAAATGAACGGAAGAAGAAAAACCATTTTTCCAATGTAAAATTTGAATAACCTGTCTGTGTTTGCATGCATACCCACCCTTTAGTTTGTGAGAGAGAGATGAAATAGCAGAGGCAGGCCCAGCTACATCACTACTTTTGTAAATGCGCTCACGAGAAGCAAGGCAGCGGGATGGAGTTTCTATAGTGGAAAACAGTGGCACAGAAGCAGCATAGATTCAATGGAAAAGATTAGCAAAGATAAAAACAAGCAAAACAAGCATTTCAAATGATGTGTATCTACTCTGCTAAATATATTGTATTTCATTGCTAAAATACATTATCCTATGAGAATGTTATTTAATTTTGAAACATTTTTTTTCTAAAGGTTTACATGAATTTTTTAAAGAGTAAAAATGAAGTGTTTTATGATTTAAATATGTATTATGAAAAACTGATAACCAAGTATTTGTGGGACAGACAACAGGGCTTATAGTTTATTATAATAACAAAGAATGATATAATAATGACTATCTTAATTATGTTTCAATTTGAGATCTTTTTATAATCTATAAATTTACATGCATGCATGATTTAGAATTGTAATATGGCATTTTTGTGTAGCAATAATCAAACTGTTCTTAAATGAAACTAAAAAGAATATGTGGGAAATTCACCTTTGAAAATCCCAATTACAAAAATAAAATAAGTTACATTTTTAAAGGCAGTTTTAGTGCTTTTATTGGAATTATTTTTCCTTTTATCTACGCAAAAAAAAAAAATATTATAACTCAACTCAGTAATGGTGTTTATTTTGTATAACCTAACATGCATAGTATGAACTTAACTGATCAGTATTACAGAATGACATGACTAGGATTACAGAAAATTCTAATAAACAATTAATTATGGATTGAAAATTGTATCCATAAATAGTCTTTATTTATAAAAACAGAAGAGGAGTTTGGCATGTCAACTCTCACACTTCTACAAGAAAAGTCCTTTATTAATAACGCTGTCAAAATTGTGAAGGGCAAGAATTATGCCTTTAAAAACACTGGACCAGATGCATTCATGGTATAACTCCATGCTTAACCTCACTGAAGTTGCATCAAGGATGAATTTGCTCCACTGAGTCAAAGTAGCCTGAACTATCTAACATAAATCCACAAAACCAAGGAAATATTTCCATACATACTAAGTGTGCCATAATTTAAAAAAAGTATCATAACAAAGCTCTAGACTTGTGAAATGTAAGTAACATGGAAACGTTAGCATGGAATTTTAGCCTTAACTCTACTACTGTCTTGTAGTAAAATTCAATTTTTAACCTTAACTCTTAGCTCGTTCCTTCAGTAAAATTAAATCAAATAGTTATTGTAATAATAGTCTTTAGAGATTTAATTTGCATATGCAGCAGAAAATAGCATGTTTTAGAAAAGCTTTTTCGCAGAAGCTCAAGAGGCAAGTGCATCCGAGGAACTGTGGTTCCAACCCATGTATTTCATAAAAGATTTGTTGCCTGTGCCTCTGGTGTTCTAGTTACTAAAGCATACAAAAAGGTTAAGTATAAGTAACTCCCAACCTAAGTTTTAAGGGTAGTTGTTGTAGTGAGTAAGAATGATTGAGTTCACATATACTTTGAACACTTGAAATAACAATCCCATTCTTTAAGACAGAATAAAAAACCAGAAATGATTACATTCACCTTCCCAATCAAACATTAGCATAAACTTGAGACCAGTGAATGGAAGCCCCCATGATAAAGCTTATTATTTCTTATTTGAAAACTATTTTTCCAGGCTATAACAGAGATGCCAGACCTTGGGTACACAGATAAAATAAACACTAATTAAAAAAAACCACACTAGGAAAAAAGCATACGTGTATGCTTAGAAACAAACTTTTTACAGTAATGGATATCAAAATAAAGAAGGATTAACAAAGATTAGAGGAACAGTATGGTCAATAAAAATTAAAAATTTTAATTTGATATGTAAGCATTATGCTTTTCTTACTATAACATGATTTGTTGTTCCTAATATTTGTGTCTGTACTGGTAACTTTCCCAAGATCGTTTCATCCTATATATTTGCAAGTACTGTATTTACTTTTCATAGATCGTCAGTTTGTGATTATGCTGTGCTGCCCCTGGATCAGTGCAGGAAGGAAATTACAGCTCGAATAGTCAATCTCCATCCCAGTCTCCCTGTTGCCTTCGGGAAGGGAAATAAAGTGCAACTGATCTATACCTGTCATAGCATATGCTCCAAGACACACTGGCATAACTACACATCCAGGTATATTGGGGGGCAAAGTCAAGCATGATGGTGGGAGGTAGTGGCTCTGAACAAGCAGCCTAGGTATGGTTCTCCTGCACATGGGTGTCTTAAGCCCCTTTTACTCCCTTACACCAGCGTGGAGAAAATAAGCTTCACATCCAGATATTCTAGAATAATAAAGCTGTAAAAGCCCAATGCCACATTGACTGTTCCCCACAAAAATATCTGATGCGTCAAAAATATTTGATGGCTAATACACGCCACAGTTCCAGATCTTGGAAAACAGTTTGTGAATTTCCCTCACTGGGGCATACTCAACCCTCTTAAAATATTTTAAGTTTTCTAGGAAAGGGACCATTTCTTATTTGTACTGTGAGCTACCTAGCACTAAGGGTGTATGTGAAAAATATTAATAATGCAGCTGCCTCTGATGCAGAAAAGAGTCAAAGTTTCTGATTTGTAGTCACCCCATATCTATTTCTAGTATACCCACTTCTAATTCCTCTTCAAATTTCCTTTATGAAGTAGTATTTTTGATAAAAAAATACTCCAGCATAGATGTTAATTTTTTTCTGTGATGAGAGAATATGCTTGGATATTCCAGTTTACAAAATATCCTTTTTTCCCCCTTTAAATACCTAAATCTAGCTGGGTCCATTACATTAGTTAGCTCATTTCTTCCAACCAAAGACTCTATGGTCTCGTCTGACTGGCTGCTTCCTCCAAACCCCCATCACCCATCTCTTCATTTCGGTGTCATTCTGCCTGTCCTCTCCATATGTCACATTCTCTTAATATCTTGTCTGCACTCTTCCTTCCATATCCCATCTCCATTCATTAATCCCCTTATGCCTTCCTTCTTTCACCACCTATTTAGTTTGGGATTTTCAAAGGAGCCTAAGTTTTATTATTAAATACTTATTATTATACTAGCACGCAAAGGTCCCAATTGGGATTAGGACTGGGATTACAGTGTGCTGTACAGTCAAAGAAGAGATGATCCCTGTGCTGAAGGGCTTACAGTCTATAGATACAAACAGACAAAAGATGAGGAAACAATATACAAGCAAATGAAACTGGTGAAGAATTAACACAGCTTTCTTAGTTACATGTACTGTATTTTTTTAACAGGGTGTACAGGTAAAATGGAATAGAGAAGAAAAGGAAAAGAAGAGTAGTCACAGCTTGTCACCTGTCTAGCCATGATCACCAGGCTGGGTTTTGTAGGCATTATGACAGAGGTGAGTCTTAAGGAGGGATTTGAAGGAGGATAGGGTAGTGTTTGTTTGGATTTTATC